AAGGTGAAAGCCTTAATAGACTCTGGCTGCACCTGCTGCCTCATTAGCCCAACACTAGTGGGGAATCTGGGCATCCCATCCAGGAACTGGAACAACCAATCTCATTTGGCCAGCTCGATGGATCCATAGCAGGGGTGATGCCCGAGCTACCCTAGCCACTCTGCCAATACCCCTCTCCCTGGGCAACCATGAAGAGGACTTAACGTTTGTGTTGACCCCAGGTATGGAATGCCCAATGATTCTAGGGATGGAATGGTTGAAAAAATGGAACCCCTGGATAAATTGGAGGACGAAGGAAAAGAAGAACACAGGACAGAGAATACGGGACGGAACGAGAGACAAGAAAATCAAATTCCCGAAGGGGACCCTATGGCCTTAAAACCCCAAGGGAGGCTACCAGAATCAAGAATAGAAAAAGCATCCATAGGAGAGGAAAAAAGATTAACAGAAATACCAGAGGAATATAGAGACCTTGCTGAAGTCTTCAGTGAGGAGAGGGCGAATGAGCTTCCCCCCCCACCGACCCACAGACTGTACCATTGAATTCAAGCCTGGGGCAAAACTCCCGAAGCCCAGATTATACTCCCTGAGCCCAAAGGAGAAGGAGGAACTGGAAAGATTTATAAAAAAACCTGGAGAGAGGTATTCTTGAGCCAGCCAGCTAAAGTGGCTGCCCGGTCCTTTTTAGAGAGAAGAAGGGGCTCTTTACGTTTATGCGTGGATTATAGGGCCCGAAAGAAAGAGAAACACTCATGAAAGCACCTATACCCGCTGCCCCTCATGAAAGACATGCTGTCACACCTATCGAAAGGGAAAATTTTTTCTAACCTAGACTTAAGGGAAGCTTACTATCGAGTGAGAATCAAGGAAGGGGACGAATGGAAGACTGCATTTAACTGCCCCATGGGGTGCTATCAATTCAAAGTCTTGCCATTTGGATTACAAGGGGGCCCTGCAGTCTTTATGCAACTAATCAATGACGTTCTAAGGGAACACCTGTTTAAGGGGGTCCTTGGTTACTTGGACGACATTCTTATCTTTACCGAAACAAAAGAAGAACACGTCAAACTTGTCAGAGCGGTTTTAAAGAAGCTGCGAGCCGCTCACCTATATGCCAAACTCTCAAAATGCGAATTCCACAAGGAAAGGATAGACTACCTAGGCTATCGCATATCCCCACAGGGCATTGAAATGGACCCAGAGAAGGTCAGAGCAGTATTAGAATGGGCACCACCCCGCACAAGAAAGCAACTACAAAGTTTCCTGGGCTTTGCAAATTTTTTACCGCCAATTCATCCCCGTCATTTTGCCACAGTATCCTTGCCCTCACTAACTTACTAAAAAGAAGGGAACACCCCAGTAAAAACCTAGCGCCACTAACAGGACAATGGAGTGCCAAGTCATCGTTTGTAGAACTAAAGAGACTTTTTTCGGCGAAACCAGTACTAAGCACCCATACATGGACAAACCCTTCATAATACAGCAGTATGCAAGTGTGTGGCAGTGGGGGGCTGTGCTATTAACAAAAAATGATGATGCAGTATGGTGCAATACAGTCTAAGAACTCACTGCGAAACAGAAAAACAGCGCTGGCCCGTATGGAGAAGGAGCTTCATGGGGATAACGTTGGGTCATTACTCCACGTGGCGACAGTTCCTGGAAGGCAACAAAATCCCCTGCCAGTATGGACTGATCCAAAATTTGAAGCCCTGAAAACTCCAGGAAACTCAATCCCAAACAAGCCCGCTGGTCCCAGCATTTTCACCAATTCCAATTTAAGCTCAAACATTTACCAGGAAGAAAGAACTTCCTGGCAGATGCACTATCTCGCATGCCCCAATATAACAGCGCACGAACCACAGACTCTAGACCAATAATGGCATAATCACAACTGGCAGCGCCATTAACCACAAGAACCCAAGCCAAAATAAAACCACAACTGGACAGCCAAACTGGGATTGAATTCAGAAAAAGTTTGGAAACAGATGATTGGTTCCAGAAAAACAAACATGTGTGCACAATGAGAGACGGATTGCCTTGGGTAGGGGAAAAGTTATATATACCAACAACTCAAAGACTAACTTTCATACAACTTTGCCATGACACAAAATCAGCAGGGCATTTTGGATTTGTAAAAACTTTACACTTAATTAAACGGCAATTTTGGTGGCCATCAATAAAACAGGACATAGAAAGTTATGTTGCCAGCTGCCCAACCTGTGCATCAGCAAAGAGGTTGCAAGGGAAATCGCCAGGGCTGTTACAACCAGTGGCAAGTCCCTCAGCCCCCTGGAGTGAAATAGCCATGGATTTTATAGTGGAATTGCCTGAAAGCAATGGGAATACTGTTATCTGGACAGTCACGGACCTATTTTCCAAACAGGTGCACTTTATACCTTGCCAAAAAATTCCCACTGCAAAGGCCTTAGCAAAACTTTTCATCCAGCACATTTACAGATTGCACGGGGCACCCCAACGCATCATCTCTGATAGGGGAGTGCAATTTACGTCTGCCTTTTGGAAGGAATTTTTATCCCTTTTAGGGACCACTCAGGGATTGACATCTAGCCACCACCCTCAAGGAGATGGTCACGCGGAACGGTGCCAGTCGGTACTTGAGCAATATTTGAGATGTTTTTTAAATTTCCAACAGAGTGATTGGACGGACTTACTTCCTTTTGCAGAAGTTGCCTACAATAATGCAGTCCACTCCAGCACAGGCTAAACTCCTTTTCAAATAGCCAACGGCCAAAGTTTCAACCCTATGCCAGAGTTAACCCCAAAAGAACCAACGATCCCTTCACTGAAAGAATGGATGGAAAACCTACAAAACACCTGGCCAATATTCAGAAAATCACTAGATGAAGCTAGGCGGGCATACAAAGCACAAGCCGATAAAAAAAGGGTTGAGCCTACACCATTCATTATAGGAGAAATGGTGTACTTATCTACAAAATACATAAAGTCCCTACAGCCCTGTAAAAAACTTGGACCAAAATATATAGGACCTTTTCCAATTAAAAGGATCATAAATCCAGTAACAGTAGAATTAGAATTACCCAAAAACCTCAGGCAAATACACCCAATTTTTCATTTCAGCTTGCTGAAAAGAGAGCATCAGTCACCTCTACGGCCAAAAATCCCCCCCACCACCACCTCCAATCATGGTGGAGGGGGAACAACACTTCGAAATAAAAGAGATCCTTGACTCTAGGAGATATCATGGAACAACTCAGTACCTAGTTGCCTGGAAACACCTCCCTGCCTCACAAAATGAGTGGGTCCTTAAACGTCACGTCAGAGCCCCAAAGCTATTGAAGAAGTTTCACACAGAGTATCCTAACAAGCCTAACTAAATTTTATACTTGTGTTTTCTTTCAGGTGGATCTCTCTTATTTTTAAGAGGGGCCGGATGTCAGAATCCAATCATATTTCATCTTTAATTATCAAATATAGAAACTCCCAATTCTGCCTTCTTTGGATTCTGCCATAAGATGGAGAGAAGGGGGAGAACAAAGGGGCTTTATGGCCCTCACTTCCTTCAGTAGACTTCAAAGAGCTGAATGCTGAATGTGTGTTTATTGTAACCTATTGTAACCTCAAAGCGTAAGCATCCAGAGAACATTAGCATTAACAAAGAAGAGTATTTGCCTTTCATGTAGTTATCTGAAGTCTCCATCCAGACGGAAGAAAGAAGAAACGGGGTGGAATTGTGATACTTGAAACGATCACTGGGAAGGGGGGTTGATTGGGTGGGACTACTGGGGAACCCCTTAAAACCTTGAATGGGAGAGCTTGAACCCCAAGTCCTGTCTAGCATGCCTGCAACCATTTTCTCTTAATAAAGGATTCCTGTTGGAAGAATTATTCCAAGAGTTCTGTCTTCTTAAGATGCAAAGTGGGGTGGGTCCTTACACTCTCTCTCCATCTCTCTCTCTCTCTCTCTCTCTCTCTCTCTCTATCTATCTATATATATATATGATTTAAAAAATCCCATTTCTATATTGAACAGTGTGTTGTCTAGGTATACAAGTATTAAAATATAATAACCATCACATTCATAATAATCTTATCAAGATACAATCAGATACTAAGAAATAGCAATCAAAATATTAAAAATAGTATTACCCACATTAACATTAATTATATAACAATCAAACTATTTACTAATCCATTATAAGTTTTATTTATGTAATACACATATTCTCATATTTCCAACTTCCTAAACCTCTGTTTTTGTCAACTAACCATTGGTAAAATAAATCCATGTCATACAATATTCCGTTTCTTCTTTTTCTTTAATTTTTATCGTTAACCTATCCATTTCTGCACATTCCAGTATTTTTTAATTATATTCTCTTCTGTAGGAGTTTCTTCATTTTTCCAAAACTGTGCATATACTATCCTAGCTGCTGTTAAAATATGTAAAACTAAATAAGTATTGCCTTTATTGTAATTTCCTTGTAATATGCCCAGTAAGAATATCTCTGGTTTTAAATCTGTATGTTGTTTTATCATTGCTTCCAACCATACATGTATTTTATTCCAATATTTTTTTGCTTTGGGACATGTGATAGCACGAACCTGGTATTTGATTACATTTCCAACATTTAACAGATTTATCTTTGTGCGTCTTCGCTAGTCTCGCAGGTGAAAGGTGCCATCTTTCTGACAATGGTCAGCCACAGGTTTCTAAGACACCTTCCTGATGTTCATCTTTTTTCCCAAATTGTGTCTCAAAATGTAACCCAAAAGGTTTAATCACAGATAGTGAAATGATATTGTCAGTAAAATTAACCTTAGAGCAGTTCTGTCTGTTCAGGACCTTGAAAGGTTATTGCACAGCTGTTCCTTAGAATCCTAGAAGGTAAGAAATCATACAGGTTATGAAATCCAACCCTGTCAACCTGGCGCACAGTACAGGGATCCAAAGTGATCTGTTCTCAACAGATGCTTGTCCAGGCTTTGCTGAAATGAATTGAGCAAGGAGGAGCCTTCTGAGTAATTCTCATTGCATGTGTTGGTTTGATCAATGCATATTTAAAATCTCTTTCATTCTTTCCAAGGTGGAATTGATCTGGGAAGATGCCCTGTTCATGTTTGAATATTTTAAGCCCAAGACCCTTCCTGAATTTGACAGCTATAAAACCAGCACCGTCTCTGCTGACCTAGCTAATCTTCTGAAGAAGATGGCCACTATTGTCCCTCAAACAGACAAGCCTATGCTCAGATTGGAAGAAGTGTCGAGTTACATTGAAGGGACCTTGAGCAAGGTATGAATTATTTTGCTTTTTGGAATGCTTAATATGAGTCACAAGTGCTTTATTTTCAGACTTCAGAAGAGAGCTGGCTGGAGCGATTGGATGAGAAAGACAGGAAAGGTTTTGGTGCACACGGAAACAACTCTCCTTTTCTTGCACTTAAGAAGGTCCTACAAGGAATGAGATTAAACTCTGATCACTGCTGGTGTTGCTCTGTTAATGAAATGTCTGCAAGTCGACAGAGAAGCTCAGAGAGCACCAATTAAACCCTGAGCTCAGAGATTCTCTTCTGTTGCATCCAACTCAGTTTAAGCATCCCTGTTAGAAACCTGCATAGTCCCTGCTTTAAGTAAGCCATCATTAAGTCCTATTATCCATCTGATTTTACAGTTTCTGAGATTCAGTTGGAATCTACTTTCCAACATCTGTTATCCCCTGTCCTGCATTCTGACTTTCTTTTGTGAGATGGAGTTTAAGGTGTTCGAAGTATGTTAACTTATATCATCTCAGCTGCCTTTTCTCACGACTGAACATATCCAGCTCATTGAATTTCTTTTAGTTTTCTATCATCAGATAGTTGTCACTACTGTTCTTTGTACATATTTCAATTTCATAGAATTACAGGATGTAAAGATTGGAAAGGACCTTGATTCAATCCAATCTCTTGCCCAAGAAAGGAATCCACTATTACATTATCCCTGGCATTTGACTTCTATTTAAGGATCCTCCATCACCCAAGGAAGTCTATTCCATTGTTGAACATGTCTTACCATTAGAATATTCTTCCTGTTATCCAGTCAAAATCTGCCTCCTTGTAATTTAGCTCCCTTGTTTAGTCATCTGTTTATTCTTTGCAACCAGTTTCAATAAGTTGATTCAGAGTGGTTGAGATCACTTTAGTGCCTCACCTGATGGTCTCCCAGAAACTAGCTAAAACAGCTTTTCTGGAGACCATTTTGGGAATGCCATTCCTATTTCTACAGTGGATTATTAATGCAATGTTGTCTTAGATTTAGTATGATTTTATTGGGGTAAACTGCCAATGGAGATTATACAACGTATAAAGACAGAAATGCCCACTGACGCACTGGAGGTGTCAGCCCACCCTTAGATAACAGTTGCCTGTTGCTTTCTCTTCTTTTGGCCCTTTCTGGACCTCCAGATGGAACATCTGCTGGCCAGCTTTTGCTAGTCTCCTGAAGGCTAGGAACCTAGGAGGCAGTCCGGACAGCCCTCCCCACCGAGCCAGAAGCTGTCCTGATCCCTGAACCAAAGACGGGTGCCTGATGTGTTTCTCTTTGTTGCCAGGTGCCAGCCCTCCCGGAAGGCGCTGACTTCTCTCCTCCAGTGGTGACTGAGCTGTACTACCTCCTGGCTGACTACCACTTCAAGAATAAGGAACAGTCCAAAGCCATCAAGTTCTACATGCATGACATCTGTATCTGCCCAAACAGGTCAGGCTGGCCAGCTGCTCAGACGGGAGCTTCTGCCCAGTTGCTTCCTTTGACCTTGCCCATGGGCTGCGTTCCATGGGCACCAGGGCCTCCAGAAGGCTGCTGCTGCTACAGATGTTGTCAATCCTGGCAGGAGCAGCAGCAGCTTCTTTCCTGAGCAAAGCCCTTCAGTGGGAAGTAGGTGATGCCAGTGCCGCAGGAGGGAACGAGGGCCACCTCCCCCACCCTCCACCGTGGAGAGAGGCATCTCTTCTTTGATCTGTTCTGCCCTTGAAATGGGCATGAAAATGCCTGATGTGAGCACAGGTCGAAACATGGATGGAGGTCTACTCTGTTATTTTTACATCTGTTACACGATTTTGATATTTGTTAAGAGTACATATTTGTGTTAATTGAATTGCAATCATCCAAAATCAACCCCATTGCTATATTTTGACATTGAAACCGTGAAAGATTTTCATGATTCACAAGATTCTTAAAACAGAGGATATTAAATTCATAAAAGAATAAGAAATGAGCCAGGGAAAACATCCAGGTAGAACTCTGGGGTCTGGGATTGCAGCTTTCAGACGTTCTTTCAGCTGCCTGAAAATGCTCTCAGAATTTCTAACTAGAAATGATACCAGATGCTTTAATTTGGATCCTGAATTGAGCATAAGGTTGGGTGTAAATTGCCCCTTGCAGCTCTTTGATTCTGCACAATATGTTTTTGTTTATAAAATTAGTTAGTACTTCATTGGATCTCCTTTCATTTTTAACTTCACAACAACAACAGGTTGATTGGACACTGAAACAAAACAATTTATATTCCCTTTGCTGATAAAGAGTTTAGAATTAGGCATTAGTTTAGATTCTCAAAGGACTTAGTTCTCGTAGGAAAATGAATGTTATTAGTGTGGCATTAGAGACATAGATTTAACCACTATCATATACAAGTTCAGGAAGTTGAGGCTTAGGAATGGAGGACATGGCAGCTAAAAAGGATTTGGATAGCAAACAGCTGGTGTAAGGACCCACCCCACTTTGCATCTTAAGAAGACAGAACTCTTGGAATAATTCTTCCAACAGGCATCCTTTATTAAGAGAAAACGGTTGCAGGCGTTCTAGACAGGACTTGGGGTCCAAGCTCTCCCATTCAAGGTTTTAAGGGGTTCCCCAGTAGCCCCACCCAATCACCCCCTTCTTCCAGCGACAGTCTTAGGCATTACACTCCCACCCCCTTTTCCTTACTGCCGGCTGGATGGAGACTTCAGAGAGAACTACATGAAAGTAATAGCTCCTTTGTTATGGTTAGTCCTTTTGGTGATATACACATCCAGTTCCTTTGAAGTATACCGAAGGAAGTGAGGGCCATAAAGCCCCTTTGTTCATCCCCTTCCCTTCATCATATGACAGAATCCAGAGAAGGCAGAAATGGTATTTTCTATAGTTGATAACTAGAGATGAAATATAATTGGATTCTGACATCCTGCCCCCTTAAAAAAAAGACATCCACCTGAAAGAAAACAAAACAGGTATAAAAGTTAGTCAGGCTTGTTAGGATATTCTGTGTGAAACTTCTTTAATAGCTTCGGGGCTCTGACATGACGTTTATGGACCCACTCTTTTGTGAGGGAGGGAGGTGTTTCCAGGCAACTAGGTACTGAGTCGCTCCATGATATCTCCTAGAGTCAAGGATTTCCTTTATTTCGAAATGTTGTTTGCCCTCCACCATGATTGGAGGTGGTGGGGGGGGATTTTTGGCCGTAAAGGTGACTGATGCTCTCTTTTCAGCAAGCTGCAATGAAAAATTGGGTGTATTTGCCTGAGATTTTTGGGTAATTCTAATTCTATTGTTACTGGGTTTATGACTCTTTTAATTGGAAAAGGCCCTATATATTTTGGTCCAAGTTTTTTTACAGGGCTGTAGGGACTTTAGGTATTTTGTAGATAAGTACACCATTTCTCTTATAATGAATGGTGTAGGCTCAACCCTTTTTTAATCGGCTTGTGCTTTGTATGCCTGCCTAGCTTCATCTAGTGCTTTTCTGACTATTGGCCAGGTGTTTTGTAATTGTTCCATCCATTCTTTCAGTGATGGGATCGCCAGTTCCTGTGAGGTTAATTCTGGCATGGGGTTGAAATTTTGACCGGTGGCTATTTGAAAAGGAGTGTAACCTGTGCCGGAGTGGACTGCATTATTGTAAGCAACCTCTGTGAAAGGGAGTAGGTCCGTCCAATTTGTTTGCTGAAAATTAATAAAACATCTTAAATATTGCTCAAGTACTGAATGACAACGTTCTGTTTGTCCATCCCCTTGTGGATGATGGGTAGATGTCAGTCCCTGAGTGGTCCCTAAGAGGGATAAAAATTCCTTCCAAAATGCAGACGTAAATTGCACTCCCCTATCAGAGATGATGCATTGGGGTGCCCCGTGCAATCTGTAAGTGTGCTGGACGAAAAGTTTCGCTAAGGCTTTTGCAGCGGGAATCTTTTGGTAAGAGATAAAGTGCACCTGTTTGGAAAACAAGTCCGTGACCATCCAGACAACAGTATTCCCATTGCTTTCTGGCAATTCCACTATAAAATCTATGGCTATTTCCCTCCAGGGGGCTGAGGGATTTGCCACTGTTTGTAATAGTCCTGGCGATTTCCCTTGCAACCTCTTTGCAGTAGCACATTTTGGGCAGCTGGTTACGTAACTTTCTATGTCCTTTTTTATGGATGGCCACCAAAATTGCCGTTTAATTAAGTGTAAAGTTTTTACAAATCTAAAATGCTCTGCTGATTTTGTGTCGTGGCAAAGCTGCATGAAAATGACTCTTTGGGTTGTTGGTATAGATAACATTTCCCCTACCCAAGGCAACCCGTCTCTCATTGTGCACACATTTTTGTTTTTCTGGAACCATTCATCTGTTTCCAAACTTTTTCAGAATTCAATTCCAGTTTGGCTGTCCAGTTGTGGTTTTAATTTAGCTTGGGTTCAGGTGGTTACTGGTGCTGCCAGTTGTGACTCTGCCATCATCGGTTTAGCATCTGTGGCTCATGCGCTGTTATATTTCTCCCTAGTAAATGTTTGAGCTTAAATTGGAACTGGTGAAAATGCTGGGACCAGCAGGCTTGTTCGGGATTGAGTTTCCTGGGCGCTTTCAGGGCTTCCAAATTTTTGTGATCAGTCCACACCTGGAAGGGGATTTTGTTGCCTTCCACGAACTGTCGCCACATGAGTAATGCCCAACGTATCCCGTATGCCTCCGTCTCCCATACGGGCCAGCGCTGTTCTGTTTCTGTGAGTTTCTTGGATGTATATGCACAGGGTTGCAATACTCCATCATCGTTTTCTTGTAATAGAACAGCCCCCACTGCCACATCACTTGCATCTGCCTGTATTACGAAGGGCTTATCCATGTCTGGGTGCCTTAGTACTGGTTCGGCAGAAAAAAGTCTCTTTAGTCTCTCAAACGCTGCTTGGCACTCCATTGTCCATGTTAGTGGCTGGCTAGGTTTTACTGAGGATGCTCCCTTCGTTTTTAGTAAGTTAGTGAGGGGCAAGGCTATCTGGCAAATGAGGGGATGAATTGGCGGTAAAAGTTTGCAAAGCCCAGGAAACTTTGTAGTTGCTTTCTTGTGCGGGGTGGTGCCCAATCTAATACTGCTCTGACCTTCTCTGGGTCCATTTCAATGCCCTGGGGGATATGCGATAACCTAGGTAGTCTATCCTTTCCTGGTGGAATTCGCATTTTGAGAGTTTGGCATATAGGTGGGCGGCTCGCAGTTTCTTTAAAACCGCTCTGACAAGGTTGACATGTTCCTCTTTTGTTTCGGTGAAGATAAGAATGTCGTCCAAGTAAACAAGGACCCCCTTAAACAGGTGCTCCCTTAGAACGTCATTGATTAATTGCATAAAGACTGCAGGGCCCCCTTGTAATCCAAATGGCAAGACTTTGAATTGATAGCACCCCATGGGGCAGTTAAATGCAGTCTTCCATTCGTCCCCTTCCTTAATTCTCACGCGATAGTAAGCTTCCCTTAGGTCTAGTTTAGAAAAAAAAATCCCTTTCAATAGGTGTGACAGCATGTCTTTCATGAGGGGCAGAGGGTATAGGTTGCTTTCACTGATTGTATTCAGGGCCCTATAATCCACGCATAAGCGTAAAGAGCCATCCTTCTTCTCTCTAAAGAGGACCGGGGCAGCCACTTTAGGCTTGGCTGGCTCAATGAACCCTCTCTCTAGGTTTTTTTTAATGAATCTTTCCATTTCCCCCTTCTCCTTTGGGCTCATGGAGTATAATCTGGGCTTCGGGAGTTTTGCCCCAGGCTTGAATTCAATGGCACAGTCTGTAGGTCGGTGGTGGGGGGGAGCTCATCCGCCCTCTCCTCACTGAAAACTTCAGCAAGGTCTCTGTATTCCTCTGGTATTTCTGTTAATCCCTTTTCCTCTCCCATGGATGCTTTTTCTATTCTTGATTCTGGTAGCCCCCCTTGGGATTTTAAGTCCATAGGGTCCCCCTTCGGGAATTTGATTTCTGTCGTCCTCCAATTTACCCAGGGGTTCCATTTTTTTAACCATTCCATCCCTAGGATCATTGGGCATTCCATGCCTGGGGTCACCACAAACGTTATGTCCTCCTCATGTTTGCCCAGGGAGAGGTGTATTGGTAAAGTGGCTAGGGTAGCTGGCACCCCCCCTGCTATGGATCCATCTAGCTGGCCAAATGAGATTGGTTGTTCCAGTCTCCTCGACGGAATGCCCAGATTCCCTACTAGTGTTGGGCTAATGAGGCAGCGGGTGCAGCCAAGTCTATTAAGGCTTTCACCTTCACGGCTTCGGGCATGGGGGGAATTAATATAGTCACTGTCTTGAGGATGGGTGCGATGCGTCCACTTACCAGGGGTTCGCCCTCCGAGCTGTCATCTGAGGCGTCCACCGGCCCTGCGGTGTAGGCTGGAGTTCTTTCCCCCTGATGAGCAGAGGTGGGGGGGTTCCCCAATTTCCATCATTCTCCTGGCAGTTTCTTTTGGCTTAGCTGAAGACTTTCCAGATTTGCTGATTGGGGATCTGTCTGGGTTATGCTGGGGGGCTTTGGAGCGGCATTCTACAGCTCGATGCCCTTCTCTTCCACACTTGAAACACCCAATTTGCTTCTTGGCTGTAGCCAATGGTTTCACTGGTTCGTGTGTCAACTCAGGTGGGGGGCGGCTCCATTGTTTTCCTCGGCGGTGTCTCTTCAATATGTCGATCTCTGCTTCCTCTGCCAAGACGTACCATTCTCAAGTTGGTGTGGGTCCCCTCGGGGCAGGCAAGCGTCATATAGGTCATAATTTAGTCCGTCTTTGAAATGGCTAAGGAGGATGTCTTCTGGCCAGTTCAGTGTGCTGGCAATGGCCCGGAATTCTTGTGTATATTCAGCCACTGGGCGTTTGCCTTGCCTCATCGTTTTTATCCTTTCGTGGGCTTTGCGATCAGCCAGAGGGTCTTCAAATTGCCTTCTCAGAGAGGACATGAAACGGTTGAAGTCGTTGAGTTCTGAGGCATTGGAGTCGTGCAAGTTCACCACCCAATCTGCAGCCGGTCTGTCCAGGACAGATTGCACGATTCAGATGCGGGCTTTGTCGCTGGGGATGTCCCGCCCGTATTCCTCCATGTAGCTGAGGACTTGGGTTAGGAAAAACCCCAAGTGTGTTGGCTCCCCTTTGAATTTCACCTCCAACGGACGTCTTGGAATGGATCGGTGCCTCCGTTGTTGGTGGTAGTGTCTTCCGTCCAGATCGCCATCTGTGGTTCAGTAGGGGGTGGGGACTACTGGATCAGCAGATGTCCCTGGGGCTGCAGGTTCCACTTCCCCCTCGGTGTCTCTCCAGTTGTGGCTCCAGGAGCTGGGGCGGCCGTAGGGCTCAGGATTCTCCTCTCCTAGGGAGCTGAGGGTTCTCTTCATCAGGTCAATAGCTTTCTCTAGGATCCAGTCTGAGTACGGTGTCCAGCTTTCTCCCTCTTCACTTGCGTGCAGGCATTTCTCCATCTCCTGCTTCCATTCTGGTTGCTTGGCCCCCCGTCTCAGGGTCACCTTTCTTGATTCCTTTCCCCACTCACTTTTCTTTCCAACGCCCATCGACCAGCAAGGCTTGTAGTCCCGTGTCTCCACCACTTCTTCTCCTGAGGAATCTGACCTCTCGGATCCCAACATCCTGCAAGGTTCCAGTCGGGGCTCTCTTTCTGGGGAGTTTTCCCCCTTTCTTGCTCCATTGTCTTGCTCCATTGTCCACCCAATCACCCCCTTCTTCCAGTGATAGTCTCAGGCATTACACTCCCGCCCCCTTTTCCTTACTGCCGGCTGGATGGAGACTTCAGAGAGAACTACATGAAGGTAATAGCCCCTTTGTTATGGTTAGTCCTTTTGGCGATATACACATCCAGTTCCTTTGAAGTGTACCAAAGGAAGTGAGGGCCATAAAGCCCCTTTGTTCACCCCCTTCCCTTCATCATATGACAGAATCCAGAGAAGGCAGAAATGGTATTTTCTATAGTTGATAACTAGTGATGAAATATAATTGGATTCTGACAGCTGGTAAAGATGGGCTACAGGCTTTGGTGAAGGATCAGGAAGGGCTGGCAAAACTGTTAAATTGAGCAGTGTTTGCACCACTGAAGAGAATTATTTGGCTCTATCTGAAGACCAAAAGAGAAGTAACAACCCTATAGGACAATTGTAAACCAGCATGGAGGGTACGTACTGAGTTGCAGGCACTCAGGTCTTCTGCTAAAGGAAAGGTAGCAGGCAACAGTTGCTAGCCAGACTGAAGAGAGAACTGCCATTAATCTGTGTGACAGCCCCCCCCCCACAACTTAACCTCTAACATTTATAAGGTTTAAAAAAATAGACTGGTGCACACACACATTAAGCTTATATTAAAATCCGGACACCTATATACATGGTATATACACCTATATATATTCATAGATACTGCTATGGAAGGTCAGGCAATTAGCCAACTAATTGTATGTTGTATTTACAAAGCTTAGCTGAAAAAGCAGCTACTACACCCTTTGATGCCTCTCTTTGGGTCAAGGTCCCTGAGTCTGTATGCCCACCCTCTGGAAGCTCCCTTGAGCGGACCCTGGTGAGAAGCCAGGTGCCCTGGGGGACCTCAGTGCTCGGCCCTGCTGGGTTCTTATGTGCACAGAGTGGGATTGTGGCAGTGTGTTCTCTTTCAGGTTTGACTCGTGGGCAGGGATGGCTTTGGCCCGGGCCAGCCGCATTCAGGATAAGCTGAACTCCAATGAACTGAAGAGCGACAGCCTCATCTGGAAGCACTCCAGCCCAGTGCTGAGCTGCTTCAAACGAGCCCTTGAGATCGATGGCTCCAACCTCTCGCTCTGGATAGAGTATGGCACCATTTCCTACGCTCTGCACTCGTTTGCCTCCCGGCAGCTGAAGCAATGGAAAGCAGAGCTGCCCTTGGAGGTGGTGCAGCAGGTGGGCACCAGTGTCGTGGCGCGAAGGGCTCACCGCCCTGCTCATGAACCACTGCTGAGCCGGCTTCCTCTTTCAGATGGAAGAGCGGCGCAATAGCATGTTGGAAACGGCCCAGCACTGCTTCACGTCGGCTTCCCACTGCGAGGGTGACGGAGACGAAGAAGAATGGCTGATCCACTACATGCTGGGGAAGATTGCGGAGAAGCAGAAGCAGCCCCCGGGATTCTACCTCTTTCACTACAAGCAGGCGGGTCACTTTCTGCATGAAGAGGCAGCCCGGTACCCCAAGAAGATCCATTATCATAACCCCCCAGAGCTTGCCATGGAGGCCCTGGAGGTAAGGCAAGGTCCAGACCCGCCAGTCATGCTGCCAACCGCCGGGTGATCCATAGGTAGCAGTTGGGCCAATGCTACCTTTACATAAAGGTGGCCCGTGGTTCAGGTGAAGTCCAGCTGCTCTTCCACTTTGGCCTTCAGTTGATGAGGGCCTTGCAAGTTGCCTCAGCCTCAGGGAGGAGGCTGGCCGAGCTTGAGCCTCCCTTCCCTTGGGGGCTATAGACAAGGGGCTTGATGTCTATCCTGGACTGTGTCGTCTTCAAAAAATGCTAAAACTTGGGAATTTGAGAAAGGTTGCATTCCTGTGCATCTCCTCAATCTGGTTCCTACTTCCAGCCCCTTCTAGTCCTAACTGGGGGTGAGGGAGGTGCAAGAGAAGCATGTCTGCCATTCCTCTAATTTGACATCGAGCCCCTTTGGCTGGATGATTCCACTTTTTAAATATGTAATTCAATGCAGCAGACATGCCCAAGACTCCTTCCTTCTCCTTCTTCGGTCACAACCACCCCCACCCAGTTTGGCCGAAAGTCACCCAGCCACCTTTCCTGCCAAAGGAGAAGATGGAGCCCTGTGTGGCAGATGCACCTCAGCACCAGATGCTGGAAGGGCCCCCAAAGAGAGAGAGCTGGGTGGGACAGAGCAACTTTGGGGGAAAGGTGCAGGTGCTGCTCTCAAAATCATCTGACTAAGTGAGGACTAATACAAGTAGTCCTCGCTTAACAACCATTTGTTCAGTGGTCATTTAAAGTTATGACAGTGCTGAATGGTACATACACCTAGGCCTGAAGTTATAGCAGACTCCCCACGGTCATGTGATCAAAACGTGGTTGCAGGCCACCCATATTACAACCCCAGGGCACTTCAATTCCCCTCACCTCCTATCTCCCTCCCCCTTCGGCCATCCTCTGGGACAGGGCATGGGTGGCACATTGGTTAGAATGCAGCACTGCAGGCTCAAGATTGACTCACCCTCCCATGATTCCGAGGTCAGTAAAATGAGGACCCAGATTGTTGGGGGCAAGAGGCGGACTCTGTAAACTGCTTAGAGAGGGCTGTAAACCACTGTGAAGCGGTATATAAGTCTAAGTTATATTGCTATTGGGCTGAAGGAAAGACCCGTGGCTTCAGTGGTCTCGGCCAGCCACACCATCCCTGGGCCTGTTTCAGTCCCAGCACAACCATTGAGGAGTGCCACCTCAGGCCCCATGCCGTAAATAGCATCCTGCAAAAAGGCCAGACACACACACCCTACCCTGCCCTCTGCAGGCCATGCTGCACCCAGCTGGCCTTAGGCAGGCAGCTGCTGGTCATGTTCATACCATTTTCCAAATAGAATAGGATAGGATCGGGTGGAATAGGAATGGGATACTTTATTTGGCCAAGTATTTGTTTTCGGTGCAGAAACTGTCAGTGTACAGTACATTGCAAAGCAACAGAGTAATAATACTCATAATAATGATACCAATAAGAGGGGTAGTAGAGAAGATGAGAAGGAACCCAGAAACTTGAAGGACTCTGCTCTTTATACTGTGCTGTCAGACATAGTAAAAGGTGATAGAATAGGAGGGCTCCTCCTAAAATCCATTCTCATCTCTACAGTTTGAAGAACAGCAGGCATAGCCTTGTCATGATGCTCTGGAAGGGCTTGGAAACTCTCTGAAGGCTCTCTGAAGCATCATGAGAAGGTGTGTGCCATTTGGAGAGCAGCACAAGGGTCCTAGAGAAGAAGGCCTAACACGGGCCAGGGCGGCATGCCTCATCTGCAACAGGACATCTTTTCTGTCCGTTGTGGTCTTGAGATACATTTCTCCCTGCGTCGCTGCAGTGATGGGATCTTGCTTATCTCCCTCAAGATCATCATCCTTCTCTTCTACATGTGAAGATCTCCTCCTGCTCTCCTCAGACACTGAGAATAGCCCCTCCACAACTGAGAGGAAGAGGAAGGAAACTGCCCTGAGCTGAAGTCTGGTGGCCGCCTCGGCCACCTTGCAGGCAGCAACCTCTGCACAGGGCAGCAGGTTGGTTGAGTGAGGCCTTTATTCAAGTTGGCTTTATTAGACTGCCCCCTCAGGCACAATAAGAGGAATGGGGACACTCAACTGCCATGCTGGGCACCACAAAAGACGCGAAAGGCCCTCCAGTGGCTTGAAGGGCTTCAACTGCCTTGAGAGGTGCAGCATGGTCCTGCCAGTTGGATACTGCCAAGAAAGCTGACTCCAGACCCCTTTAAGGTGGACCTGACTTGCATTGCTTTTCATTCTCTCTCCTGTATGGATTTTGTAAGATGACCGGATTCAAAGACGCTTTTGCCACAGTGAGTTTCTTTCTGGTAGATCTACTTTCGGCTCCACGCATCAATCCTAAAACTGGTGGGAATACCTGACTCGGGAGCAGATGCTGAGCTGCTGGTGACTTTTATGAAGGAAGCAGCCGAGGGGCCCTTTGCCAGGGGAGAGGAAAAACACACCCCCAAGCTCTCTGAAAAGTGAGTCTCTTTTGTTGATGGCTTCAGCCCACAGGGAGGGAAATGGGCAGAGTTTGCTGGGGAGGGGGGGAAGTGGCACTAAAAGCAAACCTTTGAAGACATATTACGGCATTTGGACATTCTGACATTTTGAATTGCCCCGTTTATACGTTCTGTCTGAAGTTTTAGCCCTGAAGGGGAGAGATGGATGATAAATGAAAAGCTCTGCTGAAATCTTCCCAGGCCTCTGGACAGCTGGCTAGACATAAGAAGGACCATCCTCTGTAGCACTAAAAGCCTCTCGGGACTTTGGTTTGCAGAGCCGCCAGCTGGACATCTCCAAGAGACGCAGTCTTCCCCACCCCCTGGGGGTCCCAGAATGAGGATCCAGGCAGCATGCCTGAGGCAGGGAATCATGGGAGGGAAGGGCGGAGGGCCCACCTAGTTCCCCCCATCAAGTGCTGGGGCCCATCTTGAGACAGGGGTGTGTAGGGCAGGGCTGGGAGAGCAGAAGTAGCTGACCACTCTTCTTCTCCAGCTGTAAAAATCATGGCGGGGGGGGGAGGTGTTAGGGTGTGGCTCTCATCACCCTTGAAGCCATGCTGGGTCAGGGATGGGATTGGGACTCCATGAAAATTCCTCACTGACAACAGAACATGCTTGCTCTGAATGCTGGGGACCCTCACTAAGGGGCTAAGCAAACAGGGTTCTGGCTATCCCTGCAAATAATTTTATTCCCACAAAGATAAAAAAAATCAAATGCAACATTCCTCTTTTTTCACATTTTAAGATTTATTTTGAGCAGAAGATTGGTTTTGCTCTCTCACCCAGTTGTCACCCGGTAACACAAGGCTGTTCAGGAGTTTTACACAAGCCTTGCGCTTGTTGGATTGTCCTCTGCACAGCTGGGCAAACAGGTCTAAGCAGCAGCTGCCATCCTTATGCCCCTTTTCCAGTCTGGGTAAGTCAGGGTTTAGGTCACAGGTCGGCAACCTGCGGCTCCAGAGCCGCATGTGGCTCTTTGAGCCTTCCTGTGCGGCTCCCAGCCTCCTCTGCCATTTGCAGACAGAGACAGAGAGAGGCAATTGCTCTCTCTTTCTCTCTCTCTCTCTCTCTCTCTCTCTCTCTGTGTGTGTGTGTGTGTGTGTGTGTGTGTGTGTGTGTGTGTGTGTGTGTAAAAAAGAGTGGACTCACAAAGCTTATTGGGCGGAGCTCCTCCCTTTGCTGCATCTCTGCAGGAAGCAGGAAGGGCAGGAGAGAGCTAGCTAGCCCAACTATGCTGACTCAGGAATTCTGGGAGTTGAAGTCCATGAGTCATAAAAGAGCCGAGGTTGCTTACCCCTGAGCTTGTTGGACAACAGCTTGAAGCCAGCTTGCCAGGTGAGCAGAAGATCGGAGAAAGGGAGGGGGGGGGGAGAGAAAGAGACGGAGAGAGAGAGAGAAAGAAAAGAGGGGGGAGAGGAGAGGAAGAGGAAAGAGGGGGAAAGGAAAAAGAGAGAGAAAGAAAGAAAGAGAAAGAGGGAGAGAGGGAGGGAGGGAAAGAGACAGACCCTTTTGACATCTAAAATGAAGATAACACTGCATATATCCTTTTTTACCTTTATTATAGGTGTGTGTATATATGTATGTGTGTGTATATATATATATGTGTGTGTGTGTATGTGTATGTGTGCATGTGTGTGTGTATGTATATGTATACACACACACACACATACACACAATAAAGGTAAAACAGGATATATGCAGTGTCATCTTCATTTTAGATATCAAAAGGGTTTTGCGGCTCCCGGTGTTTGTTTTCGGTGGAAAACGGGTCCAAGTGGCTCTTTGAGTGTTTTGGGTTGCCTACCCCTGGTTTAGGTGATCCAGAAGTTGGCAGAGTTTTGCAGCTTTTATCAATGGCAGTGACTGATCAGCATTCCAGAACAATCACCTCAGAGGTGCTTACAGTTTGGGTGCCAGATCTCAACCATGTAGGAAGACAGAAATGTTTTTTTACATTCTTTTCAGACCACATTAAAATGTGTGGTAGTATTCCTTGAGAATTTAGAATTGGAAAATATCAAAATAACTTTTGCATAAAAACAAAAGCGGAATAATTTATATCTGCAGAGGAAAGGCTCCAAAAGTAACTCAGCAGAACATAAATTATTTATCACCAAAATAAACCAGGTTGATTGTACTAAATCAGTCTAAAAATAACTAATGTAATTTTCAACATAATTTATTAGGGCTGCAGCATTTTAATACAGGTAGTCCTTGACTTACAACCATTTGTTTAGTGAACATTTGAAGTTATAACAGCACTGAAAAAAGTGACTTATGACCACTTTTCACAGTTACGACATTGCAGCATTCCCAGGGTTACGTGATCAAAATTTGGGTGCTTGGCAACTGGTGTGTATTTATGAGGTTTGCAGTGTTTCAGATTCACATGATCCCCTTCGGTGACTTCTAACAAATTCAGTGGAGAAGCCAGATTGACTTAACAAACCATGTCAGGGAATTGCGTAGCTGGTGTCCAAATGAAGTCATAGACGCTGACATGAACTTGTAGTTTTATATAAATAACTGTATTTACATCAGATGAAATAGGCAAACAGGAGCATAGTCAGGTAAATCAACACAGCAGGAACATCGTGAGGTAAATTACAGAGCCCACACAGGAAAAAAGGTGGCGATGGGGAATTCCACCTCTGCACACATAGCAACCAATCACAGCACAGATTGCCTCACTCAGGAGCCAGCAATCTACAACCAATTAACCACAACTGTGTTCTGGCTCATTGCATAACCCCACTGCACCAGCTATTAAATTTGAATATCTTAAACCAGGTTACTAACTTAACAACTACAGTGATTCACTTAACAACTGTGGCAAGAAAGATCGTAAAATGGAGCAAAATTCACTTAACTGTCTTGCTTAGCAACAGATATTTTGGACTCAACTGTGGTCACAAGTTGAGGACTACCTGTATTTTGATTTCTGAAAAGTGCATTGAGTTACAAGTATGTAGCATTTTTCCACTGGAGCCTCCTATGCAGACCTCCTGCATAAGAAGGGAAGGTCAGGGAGCGTCTGCAAGTGCAGCTGCCAGCATCTGTCACAACACAGTGTAGTACATACGGCTCCACCACCACAACCATTATATTCAATTCTTTTTTTAAAAATCTTTTTATTAATTTTTCAATGTTACAATTATATCTTTGAAAAGCAACGTGGTGTCTGAGTTACAATAATTCCATTACATACAAATATTATTAGTACAAATCTCCAACTATTACAGCCAATATTTCCTCTCTTTTTTCTCTTAATACATATTGTCTCTTGTTTAAATTAGTATACTTCTTATTCTATCCATCAGCTACTTAATAGCTTTCTTACATTTATCAATAATTTTATATGTCTTATTTATTTTAACATTCCATCAATAACCTTATGAATTTTCCCAGCTTTAATTTTGCATTGATATTTAAATTAAACGTTTAATATTTATCATTTCCAAATTTTTAAATGACCCCAATTCCCTTTGTGACAATTTCCCCCAATATCTAGTGTTCCGGATACATATCTATCTCACTTCTGTATCAACAGATTAGTAATACAGTATAATATTCTTATTTTCATTATAATGTCCAGATATTATAGATTCAATAACCAAAATTTCTCCCATTTCAGCATTCTTCCTTATGTCCACTTTCTCATATTTAAGCTTATAATTTTTATTCTTATCACTACATCAAAACATGTTAATTACGTTACATCACTCTTAATATATATATGTGTGTCTTAATCACCTTTATCTAACCTTTATAAACAACTCAATATTTCAATTTAACTGTTGATATTTATGCATCTAGGTTTTAATTAGCCAACATTTTTCTTTATCTTCACATCATAACAATATCTCGTATAGCGTTACCTCCTCAGAGGCCGCCAAAAACCAGGCCCTCCCAGCCCCGTCCCCCTTTGTCAAGCCCTGCAGTACTGTTCTCTAGGGGTTGATAAGATGTCTCTTCCAGCCGGAGCTCATGCAGATTAGTAGGTAGCAGGCTCTTGTCGTTAAGGAGGAGCTTCCAGGAACGAAAATAACCAGCCACGATAGTCAATGCTATGATGATATTCAACAGCCCAAGGCTGTTATAGCAGCAGGAATAAAGGATTCCTCAGCAATCGTTCAGAGTCAAGTGGGATGGAGGAAAACCCCGGCTCCAGACGGTAGTAGAAACAACAACAGTCAATGTGCTGTAGCAATAGCTCATCCCCCAGGGCAACTCCCCCACAATGTCTAAAACCTGTACCAGCAGCAATAGTCACAGTCCAAATAGCCTCCAGGCTTTGCAGCAACAGTAGCCACCACCAGTCTCTCCTCTCCTTCTGTTGCTTCTTCTCAGTCAGGTCTCAGCGTCAAAGCCCTCCCCCCCCCTTTATCTTTATTGTTAAAATCTGAGGCTAGGAGCCTCAGCCAACTCCTTTCTACACACTCCCCCTTGCATCCATTTGAGATATCCTCCTTACGAAGGAAGCAATAAAGCTCCACTCTCTCTCTCTCTCTCTCCTCCGTTTGAGATACCCTCCTTACGAAGGAAAGCAATAAAATTCCACTCCCCCTCTCTCTAGCCTCTGTTTAAAATATCCTCCTTATGAAGAAAAGCAAATAAAACTTCCACTCCCTCTTTACCTTCACCTGACGAACTGCAACAGCCACACCACACCGTCCATTTCCTTTCCTTCCCTTTTCTATATTTTCCTTCTGCCCACGCCGGCCACACCCAAAGCCAGCAGCAGCTGTCCCAATTTCTCCCTTCCCAACCAAGCTCCTGCAAACACTCTCAGACAGCCCCACTACACTCGTATTCAAAATACGGGTCTTGTCTACTTAGATATATTATATTTTAAACCTCCTAAATATGTCCACACTCCTTTCTTCTTCAGTCTTATTCTGGCTTTTTTTCTTTGCCAAATCATCTTCCATATTCTTGCTTCAGGGTCCTCAAAGAATTCTTGTATTATTGTATATATTGTCATATTGAGATGACCATCCAGTCTCCATTTTTGGAAGGCTGAGGGTTCTGACAGGACTACCAGATTGTCTCTTTATTTTCTCCTCTTGACGTAATTGTCCTGAACTGTTTATCTTTTCTTCCATCTGTTTCTCTTCTTGATCTTCAAATTCCTTCTGATTTATATAGCAGGTTTTTTCCTCCATCTATATTGTCAAATTTTTTTCAGGAGTTTCTATTGTCTGTACTTGTTGGGCAGTTAGGTCTTCTGTCATAATACTTGATTGTTTGATTTTTTCTGTTGTATTCTGTATAGATAGGTTTTTAGTTGTAGTCAAAGTTTGAGTTTGCATATCAAAAACACTTTCTGGTTTTTTTTTCCTGAAAGCTCTTATTTCATCACCAGCTATAAGAAGAGTTTGGTGAGTTTGGTAAGTTATTTTCAATATAGCAAAAATTTGTTTTTGTATTTCTTCCATAGGAAAGGTCTGTTCCTGGTCTTCCATAGTGATGAGTTGAACTGAAAACTTTTACAGTTTTTCCCCCTAGTAAATAGGAAACAGAGCTAAAACTCTCACAGCTGGTGTTCATGGTTACTTGAATCTTACCTTGTTTTCTGAACTGTCAGCCAAGTCTCTTTTCTTTAAGAATAACAATTTGCAATTTCAGGTTTAGCCACAAGATGTCACCCCACTGTTTAAGGAATTCCTTTAAATCTCAAAGTTATTTTAATCCTTTCGGGTTTTTTCTTCTATCTTAAGAGGAAAAACCCAGACTTTCAAATAAAAATAGAAAGTAAAAAGTAAATAATCAAAAATCTTTTAATCCACAAGCTTTAGGCAATAAAGTTCCAGTTGGGATCCAATTATTTTTTCAACGTTCAAAACTCCTCTGTATATTCAATTGCCGCTGTTTCTGGAGGGAGGACTAAAATCCCCCTTCCCTCTCCACAAGGGGGAAAGTACTTTAGCAGCTTGAATAGGTACAAAAAAGCAATTAGGATTTAAGAGAGGTAGATCTCACCTAGTCCCACACTGCTTTGAAGTTGCCTGATGGTGTGACTGTCTGCAGCCTAGTGAGGAGCCATATTTCTATGGCCGGTCTTTTGTCCGCCGGTTTGGAGGGATTGGCCGGCTCTAGCAGGAAAGCTACCACTCTCCTGCAATCCAGCGAGAGCCCCTCCTTGCTAGTCGTCTCTACGGGGCGACTTTTGACCCTTTTCAGGGGCCCCCAGCGATGCGAAACTGGACGGGGGAGACGAAACTCATCTCCCAGACATCCATGGCCGTGGCCTGAATATGAGTTTTCAAAAAATGCCAAAATTATGTGTTAGTTAGAAGGGCAACAAATCCTGAAAAAGCTGCCAATCCAGGTCTTTGGTTGAGGGAAAAAAAGAAGTAGCTGCCTGGAGTGGATTAACTGCAGAGGGGGGGCTATAAACATTTGGGTGCATTTCCTTGGCAAAAGCCAAAAAGTGGGCATGGGGCTGTCAGAGGGATTGTGGGCAGCAGCAGGGGAGGGGAGTAGCCTTATGGGCTATGGAATCGAAAAAAAGAGCATTAAGAAAGGGCCAGCAAGGCCAGGCCTCTGCTCTTTGACCCTGAAGAATCCAGAAGTTTGCATTGAGTTGTGTCTCCTTGTCCATCTGTGACAGTGGTCCTGCACCAGGCCCCTTGCCTCTCCAAGTGCTTACCCTCCACCCCCAGGAGCCACTGTGGTCTTTTCCTCTCTTCACGGTCTCATCCTCTTCTTCCCCCAGGGAAAAGCTTTGCATGGCAGATGAGGACTCGCATTCTTCTGCAGGAACTCTGCCAGGCCCCGGGACTTCCCTGCTCTCTTCCTCCGGTCCAGGTCTGACTTCCCCACCCTACACAGCCACTCCAGTTGACCACGATTACGTCAAATGTAAAAAAAGCCATCAGCAGGCAACACCGGATGGTACAGTCCCTGTTTTCAATACTGTCGGCACTCGGAGGTGCTGGACTCCTGGCGGGCGGGCGGGCTCAATTGGCAGCTTCCAGGAGGGTGAGGGGTCCAGGGTAACACGGGCAATATTGTCACTCATTAACCCTTTCAGTTTGCCACCATCTCCCCTCTGGCCTAAATGAGTAGGTGGGTCTAGTTAAGGCACTTTCAAGAGGTCCCAGGCTCAGGGTATTTCCCAGAGCCCCTTCAAAAATCCAAACTTCTGCCCTTGTCTTGAGCGCCCCACGTGGACGACTTCAACTCCCAGGATTCCTGGTTGTCATAGCATGGATGCTCCACTCCACACCGCCTGTTTCTTCTCACAGGCCGGCTCTGTGCCACAGTGGATGGGCGGCTTGTCCTGCTGCAGCTGGATGGGAAGTAGCTGCCTGTTGGAATGGGCCCTGATCCACGAGGTAACCTTGCAAGGGTCCGGCTCTGTGACAGAAAGCTCTGCCATCTTTTCCAGGGAGCACAGGAAGAGTCTGCTCTCCGGTCCTCCAAATGTTCCAAAAGAGGAGACTGGAAGGGGCCTCTGCTCAACAACCGCCTCCTTGCTTTGTGGGGCTTCAGTTGGGCATCTAGATGGAGACCGCTGCTTTCCTTGTCTGGAAAAGGCAAAAACAGCCTCACCGCCAGGCTGTTTCCTGGCCTCTGTTGGCCAAGCAGGGCTTAAGGCTGAGCATGCAAATATGACTTTTCCTATCAGTCAAGAGCCAGGCCAACATTTGCAGGCTCCCCTCCTGTCTTCTGTCAAAGCCCTCAAGGTCACTTGTTCGTTCTTGGCATTCAGTCATAGCCAGAGCAGATGCCCTCAACCCACTAATGAAAGATGCTTGATTAGAAGCCTTCTTGCAAACATTTCCCACGAGGATTTGGGTGACCATCTCATCCTTTTGGAATAATTTATCCCAAAGAGCTGGATCTTTGACCTTTGGTGGATCTGGGCCCATTCACCAGGATGGATCCCCTGCTCCGCTTCCCTTTGAGAGGAGCTTCAGCATTGTTTTGTTGGCATTTTTGCCACTGTCTACCTATTTTTCATTTCTCTGTCCATAGTCATCTCATAAAACTGCTTTTCTGAGAAGCCTTCTCTTCTGGAACATGATACTTGTCTCTCTTGCACTATTTGAAAGGGTGGGCTATAATTCCCTAAATCCAAGCAGCGCATGCTAGAAGCAACAGCAGATGGGTGGCCACTTTAACTCAGAAGACAGAGTTTCCCAGGGCTGCCCTTGGGGGACCCTCTCCAAGTAGGACCAGAGGAGAAGTAAATTTTGGCACAGTTGGGAGGCAGCGGGGCAAGAGAAATCATGATGACCAAGCCAAAGTGGAGAAAGGGAACCACTTCAGTTGGCCATTCAGTACTTAGGAGTATTTATGGGACATAGCAGCCTTTGTAGAAGATCTTTAGTAGGAGCCCTTGACCCTCGTGGGGCTGTGTGTGTGTGTGTGTGTGTGTGTGTGTGTGTGTGTGTGTGTCTGGGGCTGCTCTTCTCAGCTGGTCCTTTATATGAGCAGGGAGGCCAGGGATGGCAAGGGTTTGGACTCAAGAAAATTAGGTTTATCTCCTGCATTTTGTGCTGGAGCTCACCAAGATATACAGAGCACTCCTCCTCTCACTTCCCCCCATGAAAGTTTTATGATGTAGGTTGCACTGAGAGAGGGATTGGCCCAAAGTCACCCAAGGCCTCCATAGAAATGGAGGATAGAAACGTGCTCCGGGAAATCAGAGAAACCCCGTTAAGAACTGATCACATGTCTATAATCCCCATGGAATTTGGGGGCTGCTCAGAAGACAGAATGAAAGCCGGTTTCTTGTCTTATCCAATCCATGACTGGCTGCAGATATGATTCAGCACCTCCATAACTTCACCTGGGCTGAGTGAGTCATCCTCAGGAGGGGGCTTTGTGCCTAAATTAAATGGCCCTTAACTCCCATGGCCATCAGTCAGCTGAAAAAGTTAACTTGCTTGTTTCACGGTGTTACTCTCCATTGCCTTGGAAGCCAGTTCACTCAGCAGTGTGTCCTAGCAGGCTTAAAGGCTTATGCACATTGTGTATATTCTCCAATATGAGAAAAGCCATTTCTATGGCATCAAAATCTCAGTGAAGACTTTCAACTAAACAGATCAAATATGATACATCAGCTTTGAGTTCCAGGAGACGAGGCTGACCTGCTCTTTCAGAGGGATGGGCTGGTAATGCCAAGAGTTGTTTCAGTGTCTGTGAATCCTTAATGAAGGAGACTAGGGAAGGCGGGGTGGGGTGGGGTGGAGGACTCCTTTGTCCTTGCCTCTGCAGTGTTCCTCCCTGGTTTGAACCCAGAAAGGCTCTGACTCTCAGACCAGTCTCTTCCTTATGGCAATGTCCACAAGATTTGGCTTCTCTCCCTCATCTCGACTGTGATTCAGATCAGATTGGCTTAAAAAAAATCACTGCCTTGTCAGCCCAGCTCCTTGGTCAAGGCTGGGGCACAGAATGGATTCCTGCAGACAGAAGCAGCTTGACTTGGCCAAAATCCTATTGGATTTTCAGTGATGCAGCCAGAGAAGCACGAAAGAATGCCTGCTTTTTATTACGGCAGAATGAGAGAAGGCAACTAGGGAAAGCACATCTGGCTAAAGAGAGGCCTGTTTTTGATGAGCGCAGTCCGTTCTATAGAAAGGGATGGGAAGTGTCTAAATTGAAATTGGTTACCCATGGCCAGATATTTGCCTGCTTCCCCCCCTCCCTCCCCCCGCTGCCCTGCTGTCCATCTGCCTTCATCGGTCAGCAGGATCCTGCTTCCCCTGGGCCTTGAAGGTACGGAAGACATTCCAGGGGAGCCGGTGTCATTTTTGTCTCTCTGTGCCTTTGTCCACTCAATCATGGCTGTTTTCGTTCGTTTCTGCTGTTTTTATATATATTCATGCTTTTGTAATCAATATTGCCTGTGTTGCCCTAACCCAGTTAAAAACAGTTCATAGACTTTCCTTACCTGCTTGTTGCCCATCACGGCTTGCTTGAACATCAGAGCTGCAGCTGACGAGTCTGTTGGCTGTGCAAATGTTGGAGAAGCCCATAACAGCAACAGCCTCCTGCACCCTGCATTGGCTTGACGATGGCTGGATAGACTTGGGGCCCCTCTCGCTTTTCTGCTGAATCCATTTCTGTTTATTCCTTATCTAATCAGTTGTTTTGAATATTGCATGGGTTAAGTTACATTTATGGAAAAAAGGACTGTTGGTGGGTAACAGACAAGTCCATTTGCAGAACTAATTCCATCCATCTCACCGCAGTTTCTCAACCTTGGCCACTTGAAGATGAGTTTTGATGGCTGGGGAATTCTGGGAGTTGAAGTCCACTCATCTTCAAGCAGCCATGGTCGAAGGTGATCAGGCGATGGCTTATTCCCAAACTGGGCCTGCCGTTGTATTGAAATGGTGTGGCAATCTGCTTCAAGAAACCTTGAAGCTGAATCAAAATTAGACATTCAGTCTTGGTGCCCCCAAATTGAAGAATTGGGACTGATGGATCCAGATCAGGATGGTCTAAAGCCTGACTGTTTTAACTATCAGTTAGATGCTTTTGTCCCATTTTTCACCCAGGAAAAAGCCCACCATGGCTGAAACAGAGGGCCTGGCGAGGCCAGAACAGCTATTCTTCTTTGCTTCATGGAGGGGGAGGCACATGCCTCTCCTGTCCCCAAACTGACATCACGTCAGAACTGTATTATGGCCACTAATCGAAAAGACAGGATCATAAATAAAACCAAACACGTAATAAAACATTCATTAAATTCTTCTGTGTACGTGAGCTTGCCTCTGCAGGTAGTCATTCCATGGTGCCCTTCTTGTGGCATTTCCATGTTGCTCAGCCCAGTTTCACCACAAGGAGGGAACTTAGGGATTTCTGCCACTATGTGAGGCTCACATAAAATTGTTCAGTACAGCTGGGAAGATTTTTTTTTTAATGGATGGAAGACTGTCCTCTTAAATGACTGTCCTCTGTGACTCTAAAACTTTGGGAATTTTCCCTGTAGAATGGCTGAAGAGAGACACGTGGAGAATGTGCAAAAATACCAATACTTTGCAGGCACCAATCCATGAAGCATAGGATTGGTGGATATCTAATCTAATGCCAGGGCAGAAATCTAATCTAATTGACTAGGCAGAAAAGGCAACACCTACTATTTAGTGACCTTTTCTACAGCATATTCTATCTGACCCGTGATTTATGATGTTGATGCCATGGTGCTTAGCCATGTCACTCTTGTTTTCCTAATTTTCTAGAGCCCTGATACTTTCTCAACAACTTCCTAAAGTTTGTAGTTGCTATCCTCATGCTAAAATAAATTACTCTGCTTTCATTCTTCGTTGCTTTGATTTCCTTGATGAACACTTTAGTAATATAACTTTTCCTAATGTGTATACAAAGCTTTCTGTTTGTATGCAAATTTCAAAGGAATGAAACCTTTCCCCTAGATTTTATTTACTGCCATTGCTCTCTGATGAGCTACTAGAGGGAGCAGATGGCTAGAGTGGATTCCTTCTTAAAGGAAGTGTTTTTCTCAAGAAAGCTCCACCAGAACCAGCTTACCACTTACTAAATTTCCCTGTTTTTTAATGACCCTTTTCTCCTCTAGCTGTTTTGATCAGCAAGAAATGGCAGAGCCAAAGCAGATAATTACCAGACACTTCCACTTTCCAGACTCACAGGAAATAAAAGATATACATCATAAATGTCAGCAGTTCTCAAAAATGACAGAATAAGATGAAATCTGCCATGTAATTCTCAGCAAAATGTTATTTTGTCTGAGTTACAACAGGCTGCCAAATCCATTTCCCCTACTTTTTAATTCTTATGGCAGCAATGGGGTTTTGTTGTATGAATGTGATTCTGACAAAAAAGTAAGACTTCATCCCTTAATATGGGCTCTATCCTGTGTTGGACTGGATTGGCTTTCTCCTCTGGGATTGGATTGGTTTTTCACTCCTCCCTCCAAATTTCCCAGGCAGATGGGGGTGGGGGGATAGAGTCACCAGCTCCTTTCCTCAATGTCCGAGGACATTCTCCTGACAGACCACCCATTTTTAGTAAAATCACCCCTCTGAAATGGCAGGAGTGGCCCTCTGCCCCTCCCCCCCCCGAATGGGGTGTCCAGGGTACCTTCACTCCTACAAAAGTTGGACAAGTCTAAACCCAGCCAGGCATCCACATGTCTGTTTCAATATAGCAAGTCCTTTCCAAAACACTGTCCTTCAATTTTGCAGAAAAAGCAGCCCACATTGGCAATGGAAGTCCCAGGCCCTTCGCTGCAGGGCAGGTTCTGCATGAGAACACTTTCCATGCCACCCTTGAGGCCACCTCAAATGGCTTAGGTTGGGTATTAGTACCTCATTCTGCCCCCCAATTACTAAAAGATTGATAGGAGCTAGATCAAGCTGCCGCCTCCTGCCCTGGGACCTTCCTCCCATTCTATAATACTTTCTGGGCAAACAGAGCCAATCTTTTATTTTCTACTATTAGAACAGTCCAAATGAATTTTCACCAGGAAAAGTAACTCTTATTCATATCTATATACGTGTGTTTAGATTAGCCACAACTAAAAATATTCATTTCCCTGAAGTACTCTGCCAAAAAAAGAATGGAAAGTTGGCTGCAATCAGTTGTTGCTGCAACATTTCCCCTTATGCCCAGCATCGGTGTTGCTTGCTTCCTACTATCCTGCATTTAAGATTAGTTTTGGAAGATTTTTGTCAGTCAGTGTAGGAGAGAGATTAGCCAAGCCAGGGGGAAGAGTCAAATGGGGAATTAGTCTGGAGTCCCTATGCAGACACAAGAGGGCAAAGTCTGGTCCTCCTTGAATGCCTTGAACCTTATCTAGTCTTACCCACATGCAATCTGTCAGTCTTCTCCTATGCTTGAGCAGGAAATCATCTAATTGAACTCTTCAGGTGTGGATCTACTTGTTCATGCCTGACTGCCAATAACTGAGCAGCCTTGCAGATGTTTGTGTTTTCACTATTCTTTGTAGGAGGGGAATCTAATCCTAGACTTTTAGTCTTTTGAAAACTAAGGATTATTCATTAAAATGCTAGGAAGATTTGTTAGATATTTCGGGCTAAAGTTGCATCTATGTTGAGGGTGGTGTGGGGGACGGAGAACATATGTGCCCAGTGGGCTCAGCATTTCCAGAACCAGCTTCGCACACCAAGGTTGCCTTTTGTTTCTGAATGTTAGCCATTTATGAGTTTCTTTGGTTTGTCAGGACAGCCTCCCATTCTCTAGCAGCCATCCTCAGATGAGTTCTCAATTTACCCTTTCATTATAATCATTTCCTTGTAAGTTTTAAATGTCACTCTTACTGCTTGTTGTGCTGTGCTCATCTGCATTTAGGTTACTAATTGAGGATAAGATATCTGACAAAAAGGAGCATCTTCCCCAAAAGCTTGTAATGCAATAGCTGCTTCCCAGGCCTTTGGCTTTGCTGAGATGGACTGTCATAGTCACCTGAACACAAGAGCTTTAAAATAGCCCTGCAGTCTTGTGTGCACATTTTGTTACAATACACAATTACTTCCAGCTGAAAGTCTTAAATTGATGTACAAAAGGAAGAAGTGTCAGTGGGCTGCAAGAGGAGAGGCTGCGTGCTGAAACCAATGAGTGGATGTGTTGCTCTTTACGCTTATTAGAAACCAAATGCTGAAATGGAAGAGGGGGCAACAGCAGCCGCTATCTGGAAAAGGGGGGGGGGATGTTGCCGTCAAAGCACCGTCTCACTTGTGTCCTTGTTTCTCCTATGCAGACAGGAGTCAGGACAGCTCAGCAGTGGGGCTCTCGGACTCCAACTCCACCCAGGACATCTTTATGGAGCTTGGCAGCCCCCCGGACAGCACCAAAAAGACTTCTCCTGAGGGGAGACCCTTGGCTTCCTGCTCGGACCTCACAGCACCTGGAAAAGAGAGCCTGGCACCCACAGAGAACAGGGGTAAGTTGGGCAAGGCTGGAGCCAGGGAAAGAAAGGCTGAGGCTGAGCTGCATGCCTGTTCCTTCCTGGGCTTCTGCTGCAAGAGGTGAAGAGGCAAAGCTGGGACTAGGGGGGGGGAAACTCTCTGCTCTTCTCCTGCCTGCCTACAAGGCAGTTCGGGATTTGGGTGAGCTGGATCAAAGGGAGGGTGACATTGCCTATTTTCTGGACCCTCTAGGGAAGCCAGAAGACCTCCTGGAGAGCCCTGACGCCTGCCGTGCTGCGGAGCAGAAGCCCCCTCCCCAGGGGCCTTCCAAAGCCTCCGCTCCCTCCCTCCTCCAGGGCGACCCCAAGAGACCAGCCGAGCCCCTCTGCACCAGCCAGTTTGCCGAGGGCCTCCCCACAGACCTGGAGGAACAGCGCACCTTCCTGACTGAGCGCTGCATTGCTGCCTTCCACCTCTGCCTCAGCCGCTTCCCCCAGCACTACAAGAGTCTCTACCGCCTGGCCTGCCTCTATGCCTGCAGCCCCACCCATAAGGTAGCCGGGGTCAGGGGTCTGCACAATTATCCTTTCACAGAAGGAGAAAACAGGCCAGGACCTTTGGCCGTGTACCTTGGACAGCTCCACCTGTAGAAGGAACCTTGGTAACAGAGTTGGATTCAGCTCTAAACGGTGGGGGGGGGTCCCCAGGAGTCTGTGAGGGGCAGCACCATGCAGAGGGTAGAGAGAAGTTTTTTTCCACTCAGGGCTGCCTTGCTCTTGAATAGAAGATGGATTTTAATTTTAAAATGTAACGGGAGTCTTGTACTTAGGTATCAGTGTACGGGAAGAGAGCTCACCATGTAAATCAAGAGTACATGACAATCTCAAATGTGAGGATTCAGACTAACTGGGTGAGATGCCTTCCTAGCCACAGGAGGCTTAGCACCTGTGCAGAGTTGCTCTTTCTGGAAAGGGTCCCGCACACCTGACTCCCCCATCCCCTTTGCTGGCCACCTTAATTAAAACCAGTATTGGGCCAAGAAGGGAGAGCTGTGGACACCCTGCATACCTCTCCAGGCCACAAAAGGAGGCAGTGCCCAGCCTGGCACATGCGCAACCCCATAAGAGAGGCCGGGCCCATCACAGAATATGGAAACAGGCTCCCCACATTACCCCTTCCCACTTTGCTCCCGTTCCAGGCAGAGATCTTCTACTTCAAATAACAGGGAGGGAAGTGGGGCAAGACACTTGATATGGGATGAAAACCCACCTTCCTCTTAGCAGCCAGAAGCAGGACTGAGAGTGCTGAGCATTTTTGGGATGCCTGATCACAAGGAGATAGACCATCTCCAGGAGGGGATGGAGACTCTGCTGTATCCGGTTCTCCCAGTGAGGAAAGAGATCTGTGGTTCCGAGGACTGAATTTTGTCCCCGGGAATCCCAGTTACCTCCTCCAGCTCCCTCCCCCGCCTTTCAGCTTTGCCCAGGGATGGGAAACGTGTGCATTAGGTCAAGAAGTGGCACTTTGGGCAACTTGGAAGGAGGGAGGGGTGGAAAGAGGGGCCACAGCAGCTGCCACCATTCTGGTTTCTCCTTCCTACCAACCAATTTGTTCTTTTCTTGCACTCTGTTCTATACAGAATCTGCCGTGGGCGCGCGATGTGCTGCTAGGCAGCAGTCTCCCCTGGCAGCAGCTGAAGCACATGCCAGCACAGGGTCTCTTCTGTGAGAGGAACAAGACCAATTTCTTCAATGTAAGTGGGCTGCCCGAGCCACAAACAGGGCGCTTTCTCTGGCTTTCCCCAGGTGCCTGTTTCCTTTGCATCAGGTGAGATTCTAGGCAGACGGGCCAGGATCCAGCAGGACCTCTCTGCCCTGGACGGCTGCCCCCTTGCCCCAAGTACAGCTCTGGAGCTGCTCCCTTCCTTCTCTGTTGGACAACAGGAGGGAGGGCCTTGGGCAGCTCTGTCCAGTCTCTGACCTGGCTGAGCAGAGGAGCATTGCTCCAGAGAGGAGGTTCCTTTAGTCAGAGCAGCACCTGTTTCCCCCCCCCCCCAAGAACATATGAATTCACACACACACCCCACAAAACCATCCCTTCTTTTCCCCCTCCCCCCACTTTGGGCCACCAATCCCAAAAGATTGGGGAACTCTGAACTAATGGCAGGAATTTGGAAGCATTTCAGCCCCCTTCCATGGACAGCAAAGAAATATTTAAAGTTTTATGAGGATGCTCTCCAAGTCATGGCTTGAGAGCAGTTGGTATGAATGTGGCATGGACCTTTGCCCTTTAGATGAGTATAGACGGGGTGTTAGCCCCAGCAGCTCTCCAGGCCCTGGTGCGGAGAGCTGGCAGAAAGGGGCATCCGACGCACTCTCAGAATGGAATTGAGAGCCTGTCTTCCATTCAGCTGTCTGCGATATAAAGGGCTCTGTCATGTGGGAAAGGGAGCCGCCACTCCCAGAGGCTTATGCCTTTCAGTCGCAAGGAAGAGGGGCAGCTGAAGCCTCCTGAAAGTGCCCAAACCAGGGTAGCTTTCTTGCTTACTGCTCAACTGGCCTGGTTACAAAAAGTGAGAATGGAGCATATGAATAATGATGTTTTCCAGGAAAAACAATGTATGGAAATGCATAGTTGTATTTCTACAAACCACATGATAGAACACCAAGAAGCCCCACGGGAGCCCCCTCTGCGCATCTCTTGCCTTTGGACACGATCATTTATTCTTTCTCTGCCCTCTCTTCTTTAGCCAGCTACAGGCCCTGCCTTTTTCTGCCTCCCGCTCAGAGGTGGCCATGGGGCACAAGTGTGAACTGCAAAAGAAAGATATAAGGACCCACCCCACTTTCCATCTTAAGAAGACAGAACTCTTGGAATAGTTCTTCCAACAGGCATCCTTTATTAAGAGAAAATGGTTGCAGGCGTTCTAGACAGGACTTGGGGTCCAAGCTCTCCCATTCAAGGTTTTAAGGGGTTCCCCAGTAGCCCCACCCAATCACCCCCTTCTTCCAGTGACAGTCTCAGGCATTACACTCCCACCCCCTTTTCCTTACTGCCGGCTGGGTGGAGACTTCAGAGAGAACTACATGAAGGTAATAGCCCCATTGTTATGGTTAGTCCTTTTGGCGATATCCACATTCAGTCCCTTTGAAGTGTAGCAAAGGAAGTGAGGGTCATAAAGCCCCTTTGTTCACCCCTTCCCTTTACCGTATGGCAGAATCCAGGGAAGGCAGAAATGGGGTTTTCTATGGTTGATAACTAGAGATGAAATATAATTGGATTCTGACAAAAGAGCTCCTAATACACCCAAATTGACCACAATAGGGAACAAGCAGCTTCTGAAAAAAAATCATTGTATATACCGTATGAACCCAAGGAGGAAACATGTCACTTTTAGAAGAAAACAGCAACCAAGAGCAAAGTCCCTACTATTTACCCTAGCCCACTCCAGTGAAGCCCCTCTGGAACTGAACAATCGCTTTCCTACCCTCCCCCTGGAAGAAAATATGCAGACACCTATAAAAGAGCAGTCACCAATAGTTTCTAAAAAGGAGACACAATCCAACATTCCTGCAACAGGAAGAATAGTATCCCACATTTCCGTAGGGGGGGAAAAAGGCAAATATTGGTGATAGAAGATTCAATGCTTTGGAGAATAGAAACTATAGTCTGAAGATTACACAGTCAATCTAGGGAGGTATGTTGTCTCGCTGGAGCAAAAATCAAAGATGTAACTGAGAAACTTAGTAAAATAATCCACCCCATGGATTACTACCCCCTTCTCCTACACATGGGGACCAATGACACAACAATGAATCTAAAAACAATGAGATTATGAACAATCACATGAGGTAGGGAGTAAAGAAAAAAAAGAAGAAAAGGAAAAACGCAATGAAGTAGAGAGTGATGGAAAGGAAACCCAGATGCAAACTATGAAATATAAGAAACATACCCAAGATCCATAAAGGACTCAAGTGCCTATACACAAACGCTCAAAATTTAAGGAACAAACAGGGTGAACTTGAAGTATTAGTACAGGAAGGCAGATGTGATATATTTGCCATTACTGAAACTTGGTGGGATGAAACTCATGACTAGAATGTACTGATAGAAGGATATAAACTATTCAAAAGAAAACAGACCTAATGAAAGAGGAGGTGGAGTTGCATTATATATAAAAGATCACTACATCTCTACAGAAATACACAAAACCAAGGATGAAAACCTCCTGGACTCCATATGGGTCAATATAAAAGGAAAAAAGAATGACATTGTTATAGCCGTATACAACAGGCCGCCCAGCCAAGCAGAAAAAAGTAAATGAACTTTTTGCTAAACAATTAACAAATGTGTGTAGGGAATACACCACAGTACAATGGGAGACTTTACCCTGATATCAACTGGGAGACAAACTCTGCAGCAAGTGGGAGATCAAACAGATTCCTAACCAACTTAGCTGACAACTTTGTCATCCAAAAGGCAGAGGAGGGAACTAGAGGAAAAGCCATAAAGTGGACCTAATTCTTACTAATAGAGAAGAAGTGCTAGAGGGAGTTGAAATTGCCGGACCTTTCGGGCGAGAGTGATCACATCATATTGGTTGTAATGTAAACGCAAGCAATAGCACATAATCCAGCCAGTGTCTTAAACTTTAAAAGAGCTTATTTTAACAAACTCAGAGAAAGCCTAAGAAAAATTCCATAGATGAAAATCCTAAAGGGGAATACAACTCAAGAAGCATGGGAAACTCTGAAAAATATGATTATAAAAGCCCAATCTAGCACAATACCATTGAAAAAGAAAAACAAGAAATCGAAGAAGAAACCAGCATAGTTGCACAAAGTTCTCTCTGATAAACTGAAAGACAAAAAGGACAAGTACAAAAAAAATGGAAAGAGCGACACATAACTAAGGCCAAATACCAGCATATAACCCAAATCTGCAAAAATGAAGTCAGGAAAGCTAAGGCTGAGAACAAACAAAGACTTACAACAAAATTCAAAACCATTGTACTATATCTTTAAAAAAATTCTGGAACACCGAGGAATTACCTGAGGATTAGAAAAGAGCTGATGTGGTTTCCCTCTTCAAGAAAGTGGGGAAAAACAAGACCCAGGAAACTACAGACAAATCAGCCAAACATCAATACCTGGGAAGATACTGGAAAAGATAATAAAAAAACCAGATCTGTGAACATCTCGAAACAAATAAAATTTTAACTAGTAGCCAACAGGGTTTGTTAAAAACAGATCATGCCAAGCCAATCTAATTTAATTCTTTGACAAAGTGACTAACTTAGTAGACCAGTGAAATGCTGTAGACATAGTGTACTTAGGCTTCAGCAAGGCATTGGACAAGGTAGACCACAACCTACTTCTTGGTAAGCTAGAAAAATGTGGGATAGACAGCACGACCATCAAATGGATTTGTAACTGGCTGACAAATCGTACTCAACAAGTAATCCTTAACGGTACTAGATCAACATGGAGGGAAGTAAGCAGTGGGATGCCACAGGTTTCTGTCTTAGGCCCAGTACTCTTCAATATCTTCATAAGTGACTTAGATGAGGAAGGGGAGGAAGAGGAAGAAGATAGAAGGGGAACTCATCAAATTTGCAAATGACACTAACTTGGCAGGAATAGCCAACACTCCAGAAGACAAGCTCCAGATCCCAAAAGTTGAGAGACTTGAACAATGGGCCCTATCCAACATGAAATGTAATGTGGAGAAAAGCAAGGTGTTGCACCTAGGAAGGAAAAACAAAGGTACGAGTACAAATTAGGTGAAACTCGACTCAAAAACAATAACTGTGAGGGACCTTGGAGTTCTAGTAGACAATCACTTAAATATGAGCCAGCCATGTGCAGCAGTCACCAAAAAAGCTAATACAATCCTTGGTTGTATAAATAGGCATAGAATCAAAATCACGTGAAGTATTAGTACCACTTTATAAAGCCTTAGTGAGGCCACACCTGGAATACTGCATCCAGTTTTGGTCATCACATTACAAAAAAGATGTTGAGACTTTGGAAAAAATGCAAAGAAGGGCAACTAAGATGATTTAGCCTGGAGACTAAAACATGAACAGTTGCAGGTTATTAGGTTTGGCTAATCTAGAGAAAAGAACAACTAGGGATGACATGATAGCATTATTCCAGTATTTGAGAGGTTGCCCCAAGGAGGAGGGGTCAACTTATTCACCAAAGCAGCAGAGGGCAGGGCAAGAAATAATGAATAGAAACTAATCAAAGAGAGGAGCAATCTGGAATTAAGGAGAAATTGAGGACAATTAACCAGTGGAACAGCTTGCCTTCAGAAATGGTATAAGTCCTCCTGCTTTGGGGGGGGGGGGCTGGACTAGAAGACCAACAAGGTCCCTTCCACCTCTATTATGAATGAGGCCCTTTGATCGTCTTAATCCAGCACCAAACTTCTCCTTTCTAAAGGCTGAGCTGGAGCCCCCTGGTCAGTTGAGACAAGAGAGGCTCCAGAAGGCAGAACTAGCAGGCCAGAGTATCACGGGCTCTTCATCTGTCTGTCTAATGCTTGTCTGGAGGTCTTTCTGGAGGCCATCATGCAGTGACATGGAGCGCTGCCTAGGAGGAACAGGGACGGGGGGGGGGGAGGTGGGAAAACCATGCAGTCCAAAAACCCAGTCTTGTCCTAGTTGAACTGCAGCCTCTTGCACTCAGCTTTTGACCAGCCTTGATTTGCGCTGCAGGCTGTGCTGGGGGGAGGGTGTCCCCTGGGGGCCAGGCTGCCTTTGGCAGAGATGAATCCAAGCCAGCAGGGTAAGAGGAGCAGAGGGCGGTGGGCTTCCTCCAGGCGCTGCTTTATTATTGCGCGCTAAGAGGCTTTAGGGCCAGAGGGCCCTGCCTTGGGGGGGGGGGTATTCGATTCTCCTAAAAGTGTATCTCTTCCCTGCCTGAATGTGCAACACACACGCCGCCGTTTAAAGGTGCCTCCTTCGGAGGGGTCCACCTTGGACCGGCGAGATGGGGGGGGAGCTTCTCCCCCTCGATTCTCGCCTGCGGCACTTGTGCGCTGTGGGGTCTCCAGGCTCTATTCTGGGGCGGTTGCTGCGGGTTGAGGGGGCTGCAGGCCTGGAAGCTCGCAGCGAGGGCGGCCCGATTCAAGCTGCCCCTGGGTGGTCCGGCACTGGGGTGGCACCGGCCTTGGGAGGCGCAGGCTTGGTCGGCACCAGTAAAGTGGGGCTTTATATGCTGGACGGCTCCCTTCCCTCCACGGAGGAGGCCGAGGGGAAACGGGCCGCGGTGGGCGGACACGGATCCGCTTCTCCTGCCGCGGGGGTGGCGAAGGGCCTCGGGGACTTCGAGAAGGCGCCGCGTTTCCCCGGGCGCTCCAGGCAGAGCGGCGGGGGTGGGAGGACGCGGCGGCCTTGCAGCTGCGGGCAGGAGCGGCGCGGCCCTACTCTCGGCTCCCGCGCGGGCAGCGGGCCGGGCGACGCTGCTCCGCCGGGGAGGTAGGCGGCGCGGGCAACGCGCAGGAGGGGCCGGGCAGCAACGCGTCGCTTGGAGGGCCGGGCCGGGCCGGCCGCGGAGAGAGGCAAGGGCAGCCGGACGGCCGGGGCGAGGCCGCGGGTCGCGACGGCTCCGTCCTCCTCCCGTGGCCGTGGAGCCACGCACGGGCACCGCCCGGGAACAGTCGCGGCGGTGCCACGAACCTCGCCTCGACCGCTACCGCCGCTCGGGGGTCGGTGGGCTGCTACTTGCGCCCGTCCGAAATGGTGAGCCGCCGCCGGGGGGCGTCGGCGGGAAGGGAGGGGCTGCGCGGCCTCTCCCGACAAGGAAGGCGGGCGACGGGGGTCAGGTGGGGTCGGCGGCTGATCCTCCGCCGCCGCCGCGCTCACTTCCTTCCTGGGCGGCTCCGCTTTGAATTCCGACCGGGCGCACAGAAGAGAGAGAAAGGCGGGCGGCGGCGGCCCTCCCGGGCGCTCTCTGCGGAGGCTTCCCGGTGCCAGGGGATGCTGGCCCAGCCGCCGAGCCCGACTCGGGCATCCCGAGTCGCCTGCCGTGGAGCGGCACTGCCTTGCCTTTTGCACGTGCAAGCCGGATTTCAATGCGCGGAGGTAGACCCGCCCGCGAGACCGAGGAGCCCGGGTGTCGGGAGAGGCCTGCTGGGGGACGGGGAAGGTTCCAGATGACCGAGCCTTTCAATTATTGGCGCCTCAGGATTGCAGCCTCCAGTCGTGTGAATAGTCTCTGGGGGGCCCCTTGGAGCAGCCAGCAGGTATCCTGGCCCTTAAGAGACCCTTAAAGGCAACAGCGGCCCTTCAAAAGCATCCCAGGACCCTCCCCTGACCTTTTAAGGACTCTGCGGGCCTCCTCTGTATCCTTAGCTGCCCATTCCCACCTCCAGATGCAGGTCCCTCCGTTACTTCCCCTGAACTAGGTAAAAGAAGACATGACTGGTCTTGCCTCAATACTGTTAGCAGCTTAACCAACATCTGCGGGTGTCTCTTGCCTGTTTCTTCCACAACTAACCACAGTTAGCCAGGAGCCAAATAATCATAAAAGTTCTCTCTCTTTATCTCTTTAAGCTTGAATAGCTGAGTTCAAACCAGAAGTGTAGATTTCTGCAAGCACACATGCCTTGTGCTGGGTAAAGTGATTAGCGGTGAGCAAGTTTTCTCTGATAGCCTTCTCAGCCGTGGCTGGAGACTAGATGGGGAAGTCGGCATATCCAAGAGGCAAAGTCCTCTGCCTGCCAAAGTCGAAGCGGGAAGAACATGTCTTGTTTGTGACTTGTCTTCTCTTGCTTTCTGCGCAGGGAATTTGGCGCATCCCCGTGGATGAAATTGACCGTCCCGGTAGCTTCGCCTCTCACATGAACCGCTCCATCGTCCTGCTGCTGAACGTGCTGTCCCAACTCAAAGATTACTCCACCTTGCTGAAAATCTCCTCTATGCTGCAGAGGACCCCCGACCAGGGAAAGTGAGTGCCAAAGGCTTCGCTTCCTTGTTCCCTCCGTGAGGGGAGGGTGGAACTTCCCAGGCTTTGCTGATGGGGGAGGGGATGGTTTTTCCCTGTGCAAGTGGTCTCCCCAGTCCTAGAGCTACCCTCACAATAAGGGAAGTCAGGCCTTCTTGATAGCATTCACAAAACCAAAGATGGCTTTCCTTGTGTCACCAGTGCCTTCCTGAGCTGGGAGTTGAGCTTTGGGGCTGGGAACCCCAAAGAAGAAGAAGAGAAAAAAAAACCTGGGGATCAGAGCTTAGCACACCCAAAGGCTTCTGTGCTTCATCCCATTTATCTTGCTTCTTTCTGCCTCTGATTAAGGAGTTGCTCATTGACGCTGCTGGGACTTTCTCAAGTTGTCAAAAGAATTTTGAATACATGTCATTGGTTTAACTGAAGCTTTTTGGAGGGAAAAGTGAGCAATTGGGTCAAGCAGAGGAAAGTGTTTGTTAGCAGCTTTGCAAGTTGACAGCATAAAGATGTTTTTATTTTGATAGAAATGGAGTCCTGTTAAGGGATCATGTCCTGCAGTGAGGGCAAAGTTTCATCATAAAATTCTGATGGGCAAGGCCAGCTCCAGAAAGAGGAACACGAACGATCCTCCTTTGGTCCTTCTGTTGTTGGGATGAAAAGAGAACAGAAATTGTTCCTTTAAGGCGGTGGTTCTCAACCTTCCTAATGCCGCGACCCTTTAATACAGTTCCTCATGTTGTGGTGACCCCCAACCCCCCATCCAGCTGGCCGGGGAGGGGGGGGCAGGAAGGTTGCTCCGCTAGCTCCGCCCTCTCCCTGTTTCTCTCTTCTCTCTCTTTCCTCTCTCTCTCTCTCTGTTTCCTCTCTTTCTCTTTCTCTCTTTCCTTTCTCTTTTCCTCTGTTTCTCTCTCTTTCCTCTCTCTCTTACGGCAGCATCGTCAGGGGTCCCCGCCACCCCCAGCCCGGCCTCAGCCGCGTCCTCAGCTGAATGGGCGGGGAGTGGAGCAGGATGGGAGGCAGCGGCTGCGGCAGCCGCTGCTGCATCATCAGGGGTCCCTACTGCCCCCGCGCTGCCCAGCCTCGTCTTCCGTCAATCAATGGAGCCGCGGTGGGGGCTGGTGCCGCGCGGCCCACCAGCCCCTCCGCCAGCCCGGCTGCTCCCCCCCAGGCACCGCTTGCTGGATATAAAATTTATGGAATGTTTTATTACACCCACAACTGAATCTGGGTAGCCACTGCCCTGTAAGATGGGCCTGGGAGAACATGATGGTGCAGCATGGTGTGTGGCGGATGGCTTGGATCCCCTTGAAATGATGGGCAGTTTCTGCCTCTAACCTCTATGGCTCGTCCTTTCCTGACTACAGGAAATACTTGAGGGATGCGGATCGCCAGGTTCTTGCCCAGCGCGCCTTTGTTCTCACCGTGATGGTGCTAGAGGACATGTTGCATGAGCTCACCGAGGTAAGTCTTCCCACACCGCCCACAATGCAGACTCTCGTGGAAATTCAGCCAGCTAACTCTGTTTGCCTTGAAGGTCTCTGAAGATCAAAGTGGACAGTGTGGTGACATTTTGGAGACCAGAATGACTACTGATGTCTTTCACAAGGCAAGTGCAGAGGAGGGTCAGGAAGACATGCCCCCAAAGGCAGCCTTGTCCAGAGAGGAGGGGGTGTCTTACAACATTGAAGATGTGGCCCGAGAAGAGGGCCAGGACCAGCCTCTCGCTGCCATGGAGCCAGCTGAGGGCAAGCCAGAGAAAGAAACGAAAGGAGTGTCTCCATCAGGCACGACCGAGCCCATGGAGTGTGACCATTTTGCTGCTGAGCCTGAAAAAATGGAGGCCTCTTCTCTTTATCCTGAGCTGGCCCAAGCACCCTCTGGCAAGGTCTGCAAGGACAAGGTTCCCGAGAGCCGGACCACGGCAGAGCTATCCCTGGAGGATTTGAGCATCAGCTCGAAGCACCAGCAACTGGAGGCAGGGAAGGCCCAGGGCCAGGCCTGCCCCCCAGAAGAGACCAGCCAGAAGCCCAACCGGAAGAGGAAGCTGGCCGGGGACACCGAGTCAGGGAAGACCCTTCTTCTGGATGCCTACCGCGTGTGGCAGCAAGGGCAGAAGGTCATGACCTATGACCTAGGCAAAATTGAGAAGATCATGTCTGAGACCTACATGCTCATTAAGCAAGTGAGTAAAGGGCTTGCGAGGTGCTGACTGGCGGTGGCCCCCACAGCTGGGCTCGTTTCCCTCTTGGCATCCGGGGATAGGTGAGGAAAGGGAGGCCCCGCCTGTTGGCCGAGAGAAACGGCAGCCGCAGATTCTTACTAATTTCACCTCAGGGTGCTTCACAAAGGCATACATTTTAAAAATAAATGGCCCAAATTGGCCTAAATAAAATAAGCAAGCACTGCCCCAACTGAAACAAAAAATCATGATGAAAAGGAAGCAACATAGCCAGCCATGAGAAAGACTGCCTGTTCCCAGAAGGATTGTCTCTGAGGCAAGCCCATTTTGTCTGTCAAGAGAACCCCTCCCCCCCCCGGGAGAGAGCTTCACGAAGGGGGGGACCGAGACCTGTTCTGGGGGCATCTTGAGCACGGCCTTCCCAGACAGGGCTGGCTGGACGTCTTTTAGGAAGTGTCTTCTGACTGCTTGGGCTCCCTAATGTGATTTCTGCCCGCAGGTTGATGAAGCAGCAGCTCTGGAACAGGCCGTCAAATTTTGCCAAGTGCACATTGGTGCTTCTGCCCAAAAACAGGTAAGTCCTCAGCTGGTCTCCTCAGCCAGTGTGAGAGCTGCTTGTGGCTGCTGCCGGGAAACCAGCGAAGGAGGGGAGAGCCGTGCCTGGTCCTGCCAGCCCTTGGAGTGGCTCTGCTGGGCTTCAGATCGGCCCTTCCCTTTCCTCTGCACCAAAGTTGGCTTGCTCTTCTATGATGCGGCCAGAGGCAGGCCAGTGCATGCGCCTTTTCCCCTCGGATGCAGCCCTGAAGGCTCCCTGGGAGTCCAGCAAGAGGTGCAGAGCATCCAGTCTACTTATAGCTCCATGCACTGAACTGCTGCTTGTTTGCATGGTCCATGACTACATTGTCCATGTTCGGAGTGTTTTGGTGGAGAACAAAGCAGGTTTGTTGGACTGCCTGCCTGCCTACCTGCCTCTGCTTCAGTCTGGGGGTCAGAAATGGAGAGATTCAGGTTGGGTCTCATCCTTGAGCTCAGTCTACCATGTTACATTTGTATCTGGCACATTTCCCTGTGCTTTATTTCTTTATGTATGTTTCCTGTTTCTAAAGCACCCTCAGAGAGCTGGCATGCGGCTAGCACGGGGGTTCTCAACCTTGGCAACTTTAAGACGTGAACTTCAACTCCCAGAATTCCTCAGCCAGCTTTGCTGGTTGAGGAATTCTGGGAGTTGAAGTCCACAAGTCTTAAAGTTGCCAAGCTTGAGAACCGCTGAGCTAGCAGCTCTGAGCAAGGGTGGGAAGTCTCCTGGCTACACTCTATGGAAGGTGGCCCTTTGAGACTGATTCCGTGGCTCAGGATGCCTCAGTCTGACATGTCCCCTTCCAAGAAAAAGCTTCTCTCTTTTTTTGCATTTCTTTCTGGGGGAATTTCGGTTCATATCCATGTCTCCTAAAATACATCATTTAGGAAAAGGCAAGTTCTGTGCCTGGATTTTGGAAGCTTCTTTAGGCACAGAGGCCTTTAGGGTCAAGGGTGTAGCTGGGGGGGGGGGCAAGTAAGAAATGCACTCAGTAGAATTTGCCAGTGGGATGGAATTGGGCCCTGCGTGCAGTTACAAACCCCCCCCCGACCCGTCACCTGTTTTTTCTTTTTCTCTTTTCTAGTCAGCCGGAGATGCTCCTGCCACCCCAAAGCACCCCAGAGATAGCAGGGACCACTTCTTTGCTGCTCCCCCCAAGTCTCTGACGCCCCCCCTGGGGACTGCTGCGGACACTGCCTCCTCGGTTGCAGAAGTCCCGCCCAGACCGGCAGATCAGCAGAGCAAGCCCAAAGCAGCCTCGCCCTCCTCCTCTTCCTCCTCCTCCTCCTCCTCCTCCTCCTCCTCCTCCTCCCCTTCTTCTGCCACCGGTGGTCTCCTCTTGCCACCACAGGAGCCGGCAGGGGTGGAGGACACCCAGGAGATGCCTCCTACGTCCAGTCTCGGGCCTGGTGAGCTTTTCTCTTGTAAAGATCTGCTTCTTGACTGACAGCTCTGCCTCCTCCTCGGAGAGTCTCTTCCTGTGGTTGGTGGCAGTTGCTTTAGGCAGCCACGGGACTTCCTCTTCAGAATTGGCCTCTTTGAAGTAGTCAAAGCATCCCTTTGCACTGGATACTAAAACCCAGCTAAATTCAAGCAGAGCAATACATTTATGCAGGAGGAAGGCTGGAGAGCATAAATTGCTCTCCGGGCTTTTTAAAAGCTGGCCTGGCAGGGTTGATGGGCCCCAGGGGTAGAGAGCTTCTCTCCTTGGCAAGTGGGGGGGGAGGCGCCTCTCTTGCAGATTCTCAATGGTGAAAGCAGTTTTTAGGCCATGTGGTATCAAACCAGGTGAGGCTTTCAAGATAACTGAGAAACTGATTCAGAAATGCACTAGTAGCTGGAGAAGAATGCAGCTTGCTCTCTCCCTCTCCCTCTCTCCCCACCCTCCTCCCTCCCTCCCTCTCTGGTGTGTGTGTGTGTGTGTGTGTGTGTGTGTATTAAAAATCAGGATTAACAGAGCAGTTTAGGGACTGCAGAAGCAAATTCCTCTTTTGAAATGCTTGGCCCAAGAAGGAGCCAGAAGCACCATGAAATAATGTCTTCTAAACTCACAAAGAACGGCTGCGGGACTTGGGCTTGGTAAGTCTAAAGAAAAGAAGAAATAGGGGAGACGTGATAGCAGTGTTCCAGTACTTGAGGGGCTGCCATGAAAGAAGAGGGGGTCACGTTGTTCACCAAAGCACCAGAGGGCAGGACAAAAAACGATGATTGGAAACTGACGCAAGAGAGGAGCAACCTGGAATTAAGGAGAAACTTCCTGACAGGGAGGACAGTTAACCAGTGGAACAGCTGGCCTCCAGAAATCGTGGGTGCTCCATCACTAGAGATTTTTAAGAAAAGGCTAGACAGTCACTTTTCTGAGATGGTACAGGTTCTCCTGCTTGAGCAGGGGGCTGGACTAGAAGACCACCAAGGTCCCTTCCAGCTCTATTCTATTCTAAATGCCACTCTCGATGTATCGTGGCTTAAGAAATGCAGAAAAGCTGCTTGAAGCCTAATTGAAATGGGTCTCTGTAATCGGGATCATCTGGTACCCACATCATGCTCCAGGACAGAAGATTTCCCATTGGGAATCTCCATGTGGCTTCTTCAGAAGCTGCCTCCCACGGTTTTCCATTTGGATCGTCTTAAGTGACATTTCTGCATGCTCAGAGTCTTGAGAGCCGAGGGATGCTGAAATAGCCTAATGAGTCAGAATGACTTTTGGGGGACCCAAGCCATAAAGTATGTAGGATAGAACAGGTGATCCAGCAACAAAACTAAAGAGAGCCTCCCCTCCCCCACATACACACGCCCTCTGCTCTTGCCCTATCCCAGGACACACACACACCTTTCAGGTCCAGGCTCCATTTTCCTGTCTTCTCCCCTCCCCCTCCTCCATTGAATCCTCTTTGAAAGGAGCGCTGCTTCCGAAGTGCTGGCCCTCCTGTTCCTGCTGTGTTCTGGTTCTTCTGTGGCCTGTTCCCTGTTGCCCAGATGGCCACCAGAGAAGGCCTCCACTCATTCCGAGTCTGGCCTTCCTTGAATACCTCACTATGGCTGCTCATCGTAAGGTCTCTTTTCTCTTGGAGTCAGCAGACAAAACAGCCCTTCATCCAACTCACAAAGAGTTGCAAGATCCTGGTCTGGATGGGTATCTTTCTTCTCTGCTTGAGCAGGGGGCTGGACTAGAAGACCTCCAAAGTCCCTTCCAGCTCTATTCATGTCACTAGTAGATTGGAGCTGGCATTTAGTCCAGTAACAGGTCACAACACAAAGGGAGCACAGAGAATTCAGTGAAAATCCTGGTTCCTTATCTACTTAAATAAATTCTGCTTGGAATTTGTTCAATGCCCGCCCACCCACCCTAATTGTCCACAGCTTGGGAGTGATCCGTCATGTTGTCCAGTGCCAAGATCAGAGATTATCATCAACACATATCATCTGCCATTTAGGGATTTTATCCTCCTGTCCCAGGTTCATCTTCCTGAGATATATTTTACACCCCCTGAAATGCTGAGTGTCTTTGGTTTAATTGCTCCACAGAAGCACACCAGCCATGTTACAGTAGCTGAACATTGGAGGACTGGGTTGCATTGTGCGTTTGGGAAAGAGATTTCTGGCATCTGGAGATGGATCGTCCAGGTTGCAAGGACACATGGACCACACAACCTATGGGAGAAAGACCACGAAAAGTTGTTATATAGCAAATAACATTAAGCCTTGGATTCTCTCCAGCTCTAATCATAATGAAGCTCAGCTTAATAGATTCAGTCTGATGTCCTGTGTGCATGAATCTGTCCACTTGGTGTCTGGAAGTGCTTTGAGATCCCTCAGAAATTAGGATGATTCCTTAATAGCAGCCTCTGCAAATGACACATAAAGGCAGCGTTTCAAATAATTTTAGCATGAGAACTGAGCCCAAGTTTCACTCCAAAGCTTGAATCTGAGGACAATCTGCCTAATTTTAGCTTTATTTGGTGCAGTCAAGTTAGCCACCATTTTGGATATTTCCATTTTAGTTTTTCACAAAAGGCCAGGCTTAGGGCTCGGTAGCTAAAATCCTGTCTTCCAATGTACGTTGCTCACAGTTTGTAATTTTGCCACACAGGCACATAGAAGTTTCTGATTGGTAAAAGTGTGGGGTCAGGACAGGCTCCCCAGTTTTAGCAAATGCTAAAGGAGGTACTTTTCAACATAGGCAGGTTCAGTGGGCTGGTAAAAACAAGAAATGCTGCAGCAAACTAGGTTTCTAACAACTGCAACTTCTGGTTTTCTTCTTCTGTCCTCCAAATGCAAACCCACCTTCTTATCTGCCGCTACCAGTTAGCCAGGGTAGCTCAGCCCCTGTTCTCCCTGCCAGTGCTGAAGAGAGGGCAGCTCTTGGGCACCAGCCTCTGCCTTGCAGGCAGCTTTCAGCAGGAAAAGCCAGAGGGCTGCCTAGGCATCTCAGTGGCAAAGTAGTCATCCTGGGAGCCCTGTAGGGATTCCTCTGCTGACCCTGGAGCTGACCACTGGAGAGCCCCCTGCTCCCATCGCCTGCTCAGGGTGCCTGTTTTGTGCTTTAACCTCTTACTGGGACTTCCATAAGATTCGAGGGTGGGCCGTTCCTGTGGCTGGCACAGGAGCAGAACTGCTCCCTTCACCTCTTCTCTGATGGGAAAGATAGGGGTGCTGTTGAGTTGTGCCCTTCATGGTGCTTGTGCGGAGAGTGAATGTCTTAACCAGCACATAGATGGCAAGATCCTGGTACGGAGGGGTGTCACTCATAGGTTGGAATTGGCCTTCAGTCCAGGAAGCCCTTCCCAAAATGTTCCATTGGACAAAAAGGAGGAGAAGGTGGCGCCTTGGCTGCAGGAAGCGGCCTTCAACAGCAGTGAAACCTAAACAGGGAGCATGAGAAATGAAGTAGCTAAGAGACTACAAGTAGTTAAAAAATTGGGTGATTTCAAAGCGGTCTTCATTTGATGTGGAAGACATAGAAAGAGGTACGTCTCTGGCAGCCGACTCATCTTCCCCTTGACTACTGGGCCAGGCTTGGCTGCTGAAGCAGCCTCTGACATGGGACCCTTCATTTCTTGCTTCCTTTAACAGAATAACAGGGCTGGAAGGGACCTTGGAGGTCTTCTAATCCAACCCTTTGCTCAAGCAGGAGTTCCTATGACATTTCAGACATTTCTTAAAAACCTCCAGTGATGGAGATTTAAAACCTTTAAAACACTGACAGTGAAGCATAAAAAGATGCTGAGAATTTGGGGAAAATTCAGAGAAGAGCAACTAAGATGATCAAAGGCCTGGAGACTAAAACATATGAAGAATGGCTGCAGGACTTGGGTTTGGCTAGTCCAGGATTTCTGGGAGTTGAAGTCCACAAGTCATAAAAGAGCCAGCGTTGCGTACCCCTGGGTTAGTCCAAAGAAAAGAAGAAATAGGGGAGACATGATAGCAGTATTCCAGTACTTGAGGGGCTGCCACAAAGAAGAGGGGTTCAGGTTGCTCACCAGAGCACCAGAAGGCAGGACAAGAAACAGTGGTTGGAAACTGACCAAAGAGAGAAGCAACCTGGAATTAAGGAGAAACTTCCTGACAGTGAGGACAGTTAACCAGTGGAACAGTTTGCCTTCAGAAATCGGGGGTTCCATCACTGGAGATTTTTTAAGAAGAGGCTAGAGGTCACTTGTCTGAGAAGGTATAGGTCCTCCTGCTTAAGCAATGGGTTGGACTTGAAGACCTCCAAGGTCCTTTCCAGCTCTATTCCAAATTGAAAATTGAATAAAAAGGATTGTGTGACCTGGGGCTGAAGGATGAGAAGGTCTTGAACCTGAAGCCAGGAGACCATAAGTCTGAGAGTTTTGGTGCCATCTGTCAGATTCCTTTTAGGGAGTGTGGGTTGAGGAATTGGAGGGAATAAACCAGTGTGAGGCACCAGCAGATGAGTGCCACCCTCTGCTGTCAGCATCTGCAAACAGGTTGCCCTGGCAACAAGGGAAGAGCAGTCAGCAGTAGGAGGGGAGTGGGCTGCTGGCGCTGACTTCTGTTGCCAGCCTGATGTTTCCACAATAAAGCAGAAAAGTATTGGCAGGCATGATGTCTCTTTTCTGTTGTGCATCTGCAATTCTGTCTCTTGAGGTTGATTTCTGGAATTCTTGTGTAAAAAAGTGCTTAGAGCAGGGCCTCGGGTTCCAGGGAGATACAGGTTTGCTTGCGAGCAAACCAGCTCTTTGGTTGGGCCAGGGCTGTATCTTCTGTGAATCCAAGCAAAAAGGGTTGCAGCAGAACTTCTAAGAATGGCTGAGGGACTTCCCTACTCACCCATTGGCCCCTCATTCTGCTTGATAACTTTTGCTTCATTCAGATCCTTAACCCTGCCATGTATTTGACCTCTGGAGCAGCCCCATGGGCATCCTATGTTTCCAATTCCTCTTGGGATGCTCTACCTGTGGCCTACAATCTCCCAGGACAGAGAAAGGTTTACAGCCATTGGGGCATCAAATGCTGAAATCCCATATTTGGTGGCCTGAATATAGCCCTACTTTCCTGACTTCTCTCTGGCTTGTATTTGGGGGGCTCCCTTGCTTTGCCGTAGAAACCAGTTCTCTCCAGTAAACACCAGTATCCTAACCACTGTGCTAGCTCAACACACACTCTTGATCTGCAGAAAGGTCAGCTTCAGGAATGTTCCCCAAGAACATTGGGGAGAAATCAGTAACCCTGTTGGATCTCTTTGTTTGCACAGACAAAGAAGAGGAGAGCAGATCGGAGTCATGCCTAGCGGGACCACAGCAGGAATCCAACCTCTGCCACCAGATGAAAATGGTTGCTGTCATCCCCTCTTCTGTTCTACCATCCTGGCAGGTGGAGCTGGAATCAGCAGGGCAGACAGCGAATCCAGGTGAGGAAAGCTTCGATCCTCATTCGGTTCCATTTGGGGTGTGGGAAGGATCTGCTGAGTACCCCCATTTTTGCACTCTACCCTCCAGGCCTCAAAGGAGGCTGAAAGAGTCCTCCACAATACGTTGCAGATCCAAAAGGCCAGTCACACCAAAGTGCCCCCCCTTGCCTTCAAAGATCCTTGGGGCTCACTTCCGTTTCTGCTGGGGGGGGGCTTAGCATCCAGTTCCAAGACAGAACTCACGGCAGATGCACATCCCCTGGGGAGGCAGGTCAGCAAAACCAGCAGCAGCCGAGTGAAATCCCGCACCTTGCCCAGCGTACCAAAGCTCTTCATCCCTTCGGCCATCTCCAAATTCCCGCCTGAGATCACTGTCACTCCGCCAACCCCCACCCTCCTGTCCCCAAAGGGCAGCATCTCGGAAGAGACCAAGCAGAAGCTCAAGGTACGTTAGGGGGGGGAGTAATGCGAAGGAGGAGAAGGCTGAAAGGGTGGTGGGGAGGAGAAGCGGCAGAGAACGGTCCTCTCCCTCTGAACCATGTGGTAACAGCTGGTTCCGCGCCCCCCCCCCTACAGAAGAGCCACCATTCCTGCTCTGTGCCTGGGGCTAATCCAACCAGGAGGGTTGTGCTTTTCCTCTGTGGGTTGAAGGGCCCATTTCTGATGGGGGGATTGGACTAGTAACTGACCCCCACCATTCCTTCTTCTGGAACAGTCTGCGATACTTTCGGCCCAGTCAGCAGCCAACGTGAAGAAGGAGACCCTCTGCCAGCCTGCCCTGGAGGTGGTGGAGACCTCCAGCCAAGAGTCTTCTCTGGAGAGCGACTCTGAGGAGGAGGAGGAAGAGTGTGAGGAAGAAGAGGAGGAGGACAATGACTGCATGGACATCTGAAACATCTGGGCTGCTCCCGTCCCGGGGGGGGGGGGAGCAGGCCGTGATGGACAGAGAGGCCCTGCCCACTGCCTGGAGCGCCCCCTTTTGCTTGCCTTGCCTCTGCCTTTGCCACTGTTGCTCCCACCCACCCCCAGGCTGGCACTACCCCCTCACCCTCCCTCCACTACGCCAGTAAACTCTGCCCTTGCAGCCCTCAGCATGTTCCTGGTCCTGGCACACCTGCCTGGCTCTGACTGGGGGGGGGGAGGAGCCTTTGGCCACAGCAGAGCCAAGAAGCAGCTGTGCCCATCGTCCTTTCCTGCTTTTCTCACTGTTGCCTGAAAAGAGCCCCACCTCCCGGCCGAGCTCTGCTGCTGCCGGCTGCTTGCATGAAGCGCTGGTCAGTCGGTCAGTCTTGGCATCACTGATCGAGAAATGGAATGGTTTTCAGTACCATTTTGATAATGTCTGTTTTTTTACAGAATGACGTAAAAAGTGTATATGCTTTGTTTTTTTAAGTCACTGGAACGATTGGTCGCATTCCTATGGGAGACAATAAAGAAGACCAAGAATTTTTCTACCGAATGTTGTAATTTGTAGCATACATAATTAATGCAATCCTGCACAGGAACCAGGATGCGTATCACTTAAGCTTATGTGGGGTTCATCAGGCTGTGGGGAAGCCGTTCTATAAAGGGTGCAATACAGAGCCTTGTATAAATAGGCATTTTTCTAATAAAGTCAAGCATGTCTCCCCTGTGCCTCCCAATTCTTTTTCTCCTCAAGTTGAAAAATTGGCATCTCTCACACGCACACAAAGCTACAAGCACGCATGTTGCTGTAGATCACCTCTGTGTTGTTGGGGGGCCAGGACTCCTTGGGCTGGCGGCTGCGATCCCTGTTCAGAGCTGGCTTCTGAGGCAGCCTTTCTCTCATTCCACATTGATTTGGGGTCTTTACCCTTTACAGGAGCAACTATACAAAATCCTGATAGCAGCTCCTCCTCCTGGTCGTGTAGGTGTACTTTTTCCGTGTAGGTGTACTTTTTAACTTTGAATTGAAACACACAGTTCTTTAATAGGCAGAGTCCAAAAATGAAGAAAAATGACTGATTTTATATTAGGAAAAATATTAAATAGAATTTAAACTGAGTGATGTATACTTTTAAAGAACAATACTCTTGAAAGGACTTCCCACAGAAATGATTGTATCATTTAATTTGCATTTCACCTAATTTACTTTGTAATTTTTTGTAATAAATTTTGTGATGTTTCTTAAAAATAATTACAATTTTTCAAGCCCAAGCTACTATTGGTGTTAGCCATTTAATTAGCAAAATTAAAGTCTTATCACATACTGATGATATAGATGAATTTGAATTCATAAAATCTGAGGTAAGGCTAAGAGCCATGCTTTGAAACTTGGGAAATCATCGAGTCTGTTCTGATTTTTATTATGCAAATTTTCACATGCTTCCTTTCAGTGAAAAGACCTGAATACTTCACAATCACCCCAAAAAACAAAATAAGGTAAGCAATAACAAAATAGCAACATTTGTTGTTAGTTTTGAAGTTGTGTCCGACCCATCGCGACCCTATGGGCAATGTTCCTCCAGGCCTTCCTGTCCTCTGCCATCTTCTGGAGTCCATTTAAGCTCATGCCTCCTGCTTCAGTGGCCACCTCATTTTCTGTAGTCCCCTTCTATTGCCCTCAATCTTTCCCAGCATTAGGCTTTTCTTCAGTGAGTCCTTCTCATTAGGTGACCAAAGTACTTGAGTTTCAACTTCAGGATCTGGCCTTCTAAAGAGCAGTCAGGGTTGATCTCCTCTAGGACTGACCGGTTTGATCACCTTGCAGTCCAGGGGACTCGCAGGAGTCTTCTCCAGCACCATAGTTCAAAGGCCTCCATTCTTTGGCGCTCAGCCTTTCTTATGGTCCAACTTTCACAGCCGTACATTGCAACTGGGAAAACCAAGGCCTTGACTGTATGTACTTTTGTTGGCAGGGTGATGTCTGCTTTTTAGTATGCTGTCTAGATTTGCCATAGCTTTCCTCCCTAGGAGCAAGTGTCTTTTAATTTCTTGGCTGCAGTCCCCATTTGTGGTGATCTTGGAGCCCAGGAAGATAAAATCTGTCACTACCTCCATTTCTTCCCTATCTATTTGCCAGGAATTGAGAGGGCCGGATGCCATGATCTTGGTTTTCTTAATGTTGAGTTTCAAGCCAACTTTTGCACTCTTCTTCTTCACCCGCATCAAGAGGCTCTTTAGTTCCTCTTCACTTTCTGCCATTAGAGTGGTATCATCTGCATATCTTAGGTTGTTGATATTTCTCCCGGCAATCTTAATTCCAACTTTTGGTTCATCTAGCCCTGCCTTTCTCATGATGTGCTCTGCACATAAGGCAGGGTGACAGAATACAGCTTTGCCAGACTCCTTTCCCAATTTTGAACCAATCAGTGGTTCCGTGCCCAGTTCTCACTGTTGCTTCTTGACCCGCATATAGGTTTCTCAAGAGACAAATAAGATGATCTGCTACTCCCATCTCTTTAAGAACTTGCCACAATTTGTTGTGATCCACACAATCAAAGGCCCGTCTGGTACTGGGTTGTATTCCACAGTTGGGTGCCATGTTTTGAAACTCTCAGCCTTCACAAAGTGGCTATATAGAATATAGAATAACAAGATTGGAAGAGGCCATTTGGAGTCTTCTAATCTAACCCCCTGCTTGTCCAGCAGACCTTATACCATTCCAGACAAATGGCTGACCAATCTCTTATTGAAAACCTTCAGTGATGAGAGTACCCACAAGCTGTTCCACTGATTAATTGTTCTCGCTCTCAGGAAATTTCTCCTTTGTTGGTTGGATCTCTCTCTAATGATCTTCCAACTGTTACTTCTTGTCCAGACCTCAGCTGCTGTGGAGAACAGGTTGACCTCAGAGAGCCTCTCAAGTTCCTTAAGACAGCTGCCATGTGACCCCTAGTCCTCTTTGATAGCCATACCCAATTCCTGCAATTATTCATTGTATGCTTTATCCTCTGGTCCCCTAATCATCTTTGTTGCTCTTTTCTGCACTCTTTCTAGGGTCCCAGGATATTTTTTTTTATCATGGTGACCAGAACTGGATGCAGTACTCCCAAGTGTGGTCCTACCAGTGCAAACCAACACCATTACTTCCCATGATTTTGACACTGTCACTCTGTTGATGCAACCTAGGACTGTGTTGGCTTTTTGGTAGCTGCAGCACACAGCTGTCTCATGCTTAAGTTACTGTCCACTAGGACCCCTAAATCCCTCTCACAGTTACTACTGTATGGCCAGGTATAACCCCTTCTATACCTATACATTTAGTTTTTCTCGCCTAAGTTTAAAACCTTGTTTTTCTCACCAGTGAATTTCATTTTGTTGCATAGAGCCCAGGATTCAAGTCTGTCCAGAGCTTTCTGGATCTCAAGTCTGTCTCTAAGAAGTTGACTGTTTCCCATAGCTTGGTGACATCTGCAAATCTGATGAGTTCCCCCTCTAGCCTCTCATCTGGGCCATCCAACAGTCTTTGGGCTCCTGCAGAGCTCTTCTGCAGCCCTACTAAGCAGTGGACACGGGCCTCCCTCCTCCAGGGCTTGGGCTTTGTCCCCCATCGAGGTGCTGGTTCGGTTCTTACGGGCGTGTCTGACTCTTCCCCTGAATGAAACGGAGAGCACAAATGGGATTTTGAAGACAATGCAAGGGAATCACAGAATCGGGGGGGGGGGGGTTCACTGCATTTGCCACTTTGGGCTTCTGTAGGAGGACAGCCTGATACATAATGTTATAGAAAGCCTCATAGGAGAATAGATGGAATTCTAAGGATTCTTTACGATGGAATGTTCATGTCTATTTCTGAGTAGAAAAACCCCTGAAAGCAAAACAAGCAGGACAGGACTGATTCACCCCTGGCATTGGACCATTGGCTGGCAGGGATTTTCTGTGAGGTTTATCCTGGATAAACAAGCAAGCCAGCATGGATTGAGGTTTTATAGTCATGGGATCTAGATTCCTAATTCTTTTATTTTGGGAGCTGCTTTGCCTGAGGAAGCAGTGGTAAAATAACCACATATAATTTCAGGTTAAAGATAGCCTGAAGCGCACTGGGAACATTTCTAATAGGATCCATGTTAGAATATTTGTATGGTTGTTAAGCAAAAGACGGATGTCTTCTTTCACTCCCTGTAAATACTTCTCTGCTCCAAAGGGTTATATGGGCAATTAGAGAGACCTGAGCATGTAGGGGCTCAATTAGATGGTTAGGGAATTAACTCCTGGGCTAAGTACCTCTTAAGAAAGCTCACATTAAAGGGAGACAGGCTATCAATATGCACCACATCGATAGGTATTGAGCAAATTAAAAGCTGTTTTCTTGCACACATTATTTCACTTTGCTATTTAAAAACAAAAAACAAATTGAAAAGCTAAACACTCAGGTGGGGGAGCAGCCATGGGAGAGGAGAGATTTTTCCCACAGCAATTCTCATCTTCTTCTCATCTTATGATTTAGATGAGAGAACTGAAGGGGAACTCGTGAAATTTACAAATGGCATCAAACTGACAGGACTAGCCAACACCCCAGAAGACAAACTCAGGATCCAAAAAGATCTTGACAAACTTGAACAATCAGCCCTGTCCAACAAAATGAGTTTCAATGTGTAGAAAAGCAAAGTCTTACATTTAGGCAGGAAAAATCAAACGTACAAATATAGATTGAGCAAGACCAGGCTTAAAAACAGTAACTGTGAGAGGGACCTTGGAGTCCTAGTGGACGATCACTTGACCATGAGCCAGCAGAGTGCAACAGCAACCAAAAAAGCTAATACAATCCTGGGTTGTATAAACAGAGGCATAGAATCAAGATGGAATACTGCACCTGGAATACTGCAGCCAATTTTAGTCATCATATCACAAAAAAGATGTTGAGAATTTAGAAAAAAATCAGAGAAGAGCAACTAAGATGATCAAAGGCCTGGAGACTAAAACATACGAAGAACCGCTACAGAACTTGGGTTTGGCTAGTCTAAAGAAAAGAAGAAATAGGGGAGATATGATAGCAGTGGGGGACTGCCACAAGGCAGAGGGGGCCAGGTTGTTCACCAGAGCACCAAAGGGAAGGACAAGAAATAATGGTTGGAAGCTGATCAAGGAGAGAAGCAACCTAGAATGAAAGAGAAACTTCCTGACAGTGAGGACAACCAACCAGTGGAATAGCTTACTCCCAGAAATCATGGATGCTCCATTACTGGAAATTTTTAAGAAGAGACCGTAAAATCATCTGTCTAAGACGGTATAGGTTCTGCTTGAGCAGAAGGCTGGACTAGAAGACCTCCAAGATCCTTTCCAGCTCTATTGTATTCTTTCTCCTCCCACCCCTAGTTCAACCTCCAGGCAGCCATTTCTACTTGGTTGCGCACCTCCTCACAACGTCTATGGAGATTCTCAGTCATCCAGGTCATGGTTGTCCCAAAGGTGCTTTTTCACGAGGCCACTGGACTTCCTTTTCTTTTTGAAGATGTTTCGCTTCTTAGAACAAACCCATCAGGACAAGATTCAGCAGTCCATCTGCATTTAAAAGGCAAAGCAAAGTCCACATTTCGAACAGAGGGGACCACTGGTTTGAAAGAGAGGTCAAAGGGGCCATGTATGTCAAAACTGAACAGTCCTCTCTCAACGGGGAGGGATACGACATCATCTATCTTTGGTCTACAGTCCTTTCAACAGTTCCAAGATGGCTCCACACCCATTTGCACTATTCAGGTGACCCGGATGACACAGGTAAGCCTCAAGGTGGCATCAATGACTCTCTAAAAGAATGCAAATGACCAGCTTTCTGCAAGGAGTATAAATCCTTCCATTTGCCACCATTCAGTGAAAGCTGAAGAAACTTCTTGCATTCTGCTGTGGGAAGAACCTTCTCCATTTCTGTCACTGGTCACTGTTGGCTCTTTGTCAGCAAGGAGTCCACTGTCCTGATCTGCATGGAGACATCTGCCTGGGTTTTCTTTGATCAGAATTTCATAACATGCCTTTCTGGCATTAAATGAACTGCTAAATTGGTTACTAAAATTCCTTCAGTGGTCTTTTCCCAAAACAGCCATTCTGTCTGTCAAAGAGTATAAATCATCTTGCTGATTTATACTATGAAAGGGAAATGTTCCTGGGTCAGTCCCCTATGAGGGCATTACAGACTGCTTCTCATGACAAGGTTCCTTCCCACTGGGAGGGAGGGAGGGGCCATTTTGCCAACTCTGGGGGGCCCTTTGATGTTCATCACAGGATATTTCCAGCACTGCCCACTGGGACCACTTGCTACAGCATGAATTGATCTGGAATATTAGGGAAAAGGGTGCAATCAACAAAGGCACCAGTGTTTCCCCTTGTGACTCAAGTGACAGGAAGCATGCCTCAGTCTACCACTGACATCTCAGGTCCGGGTAGGCCAACTATCAGAGGACCATTCTTGATGCCCTGCCTGTGTCCAGAGCCAAGGTGGCACAGTGGTTAGAATGCGGTACTGCAGGCTACTTCTGCTGATTGCCGGTTGTCAGCAGTTCGAGTATCACCAGCTGAAGGTTGACTCAGCCTTCCATCCTTCCGAGGTCAGTAAAATGAGGATCTAGATTGTTGGGGGCAAGAGGTTGACTCTGTAAATCGCTTAGAGAAGGCTGTGAAACACTGTAAAGTGGTATATAAGTCTAAGTGGAAATTGGAATTAACTTTGCTGGGGGAAAGCTCAGATATGCCAACCATATTAAATGCAAAGATGTCACACTGATAACAGGGATACATACTACGAATGCCCCCATTTCCCCATGTGTAATATATGGCTTTAAAAGCTGAAACATCAGAAGGTTGATCCTTGTAAAGGGTAGTGCTGGAGAAATTAGGAGAAAGTCACTGAGGGTCTGTTAGCCGGTAAATCCTTCAATGTCTAGAACTCATAGACTCCAAAGGTTGGAAAAGAACCTGGAGGTCTTCTAGTCCAACCCCCTGCTCATGGCAGGAGCCTCATACTATCCAGGCAAATGGTTGTCCAGTCTTTTTTGCCCCCAACTCTGGGAGACAAGCTGTTCCATTGATTAATTGTCTTTGCTGTCAGTAAATTTATGCTTAATTCTAAGTTGGAACTTTTTTTAACAAGCTGCCAGCCATTACTTCTTGTCCAGCCCTTTGGTGTCCTAGAGAATAAGTCAATCCCCTCTTCTCTGTGACAGCCCCTCAAGTACCCGAAGGCAGTTATAGCATATAGCATCAATGTAGATAAGGACATCATCAAGATATACTAGGACCCCTTTGACAAATGTTCATGGAGCACCTCATTTATTAGTTGCATAAACACCATGGGTGCTCCTGCCTCAGCTATTCCCCCAGAAAAGCACACTCAGGAAACAGGCATTGTTTCAAAGAGGAGCTTTTACTGAGAGAATGTGATTGCAGAGTAAAAAAGCGGTATCTGAAGTTCCCGTACAAATAATTAAGCTGAAAGTCCCATTTCTTCAGCTCCAACCCAATGCCCCAATCCATCAGGAGCCAATCCGCTGGTGTGAAGATGTTATGAGAACTTCTGGCCAAAAAGATGATAATCAGCCGGCTTCCCAGGCACCTGTGAAACCAGATGGCCCCCAAGGCATTTCCCCCCTCACTTCCCATTTGAATACATCAAAGCGAAAGCAGCAACAAAGGTTAGAGTAGAGGATCATCCTCAATCCACACTCATACACGCTCCCCCTCCCCTTTCTTATGGCAGCGTTCCGGAGCGACCCGACATAGTCATTTCTTGGCCTTTTTTTGCCAAATGACAAATTACAGTGTTTCCCAAGCTTTCGAGGAGCTCTACAATAAAATCCATGGAAATCTCTCTCCAGGGTGCTGAAGGTTCCGCTATTGTTTGGAGTAACCCTGGTGTTTTTCCCTGCCTCTGTTTTGCTGAAGCACAGATGGGGCAGCTGGAAACATAACTTTCAACGTCTTTCTTGAGTGAGGGCCACCAGAAGTGCCTTTTGAGAAGGTGTACGGTTTTTACAAACACAAAATGTCCCGCTAATTTCGAGTTGTGGTACGTTTGCATAGTTCTTAGTCTTTGGTTAGCAGGCACGTATAGTTTTCCACCTACCTGCTCGATCCTAGATGACTGTAGATGACATGAAACAGACTGCCCAATGAAAGAAACAATAATGAAGCTAAAGTGACTGGCAAGAAGCCGCTGTCAAAGTGTAAGGACTTGATGGTTTTCTCTGCTTATTAGCTGAGAAAACCTCCATCCCTCTCTGCCCCTGCTATGTTCTGTCCTGGCCCAACACTGCTCTTCAGTGCTTTCCTAAATGACTCAGACAATTGGCAGGCAAGCCAAAGTTGCAGCTACAGCCAACACCTCAGAAGGCAGACTCAGGATTCAGAAAGATAGACTTGAACATCAGGCCCTTTTCTCAAAAATGCATTCAGGAGGCAGGCAAGTAGGATGCCCCACTCAGGCAGGAAAAACTGGGTGCACAAAGTGAACCAGCAGAATGCTGGGGAGAACAATCATCAAGGGGTTGCAGCTGCCAAAATAGCTAATGCAATCCTGGGCTGGAGCAATGTTTGGGATAGAGCACTGAGAGCATGGAAGGTGATAGTTCCATTCTATGCCCTGGAACGCTAGGGCCGGTTCTGGTTGTCACAGATAAGGAAAAACACTGAAGACCAGATAAAAGAACCCAGTATATTTAGCCTAAAGGGTCTGCATTTATTCTACCCAGCTCTTGAGGGCAGCAGAAGAACTGGTGGGTGGAAGCTTCCTGAGGGAGATCTAGATCTGAGATCAGGGGAGCCTTGGTGCAGGGGGAGAACTTGGCTCCTGGAGGGTTTCAAGCAAAGGCTGGCAGGCCATTTGTTGGGATAGTTTAAGGATTCCTGCCCTGGGCAGGGGGCTGGATTAGAAGATCTCTAAGCCATTTCTAGCCCCAGGAGGCTTGAGTCCATGAATCTGGCTGGGGAGATGCTTAGGCCTTAAAGGGCTGCCGTCCTGTGTTCTCTGGCAATCTGCACAGCCATGCTGGTCCTGTCCTTGTCTCTCTCCAGTGGCCAAACCAAAACAGTTGTGAAAGGGCGTTGGCAGCAGTGGTGCAGGAGGGAGCCAGCCTGCAACTGACAAAGGCAGCCCAGAGCTGAGCAGATCCGGCCTTGCCATGGACATGCCACACCCATGCAAATTGCCCAAGGGGAGGGAGGAGTGGAACAAAGTGGAGCCTACCACTTCCCCTTTGGATCAAGCCAGCTTGCCTGCTCTGGGCAGGGGCCGTGTGGGGGGACAGAGGCTCCCTCCTGCACCCAGCCTAGCTCAGGGTCCCCGAGAACTCCACACCTTAAAGAACCCAATGAAGGGCGCCTGTGCAGGGGCCCTTAGGTAACAGTACCAATTTCTTTAAAAGATTCCCTGGGTTGTCACAGCTTCATTAAGTGAAGCAATAAAGCAAAACTAAAGTGATCACTGGGTGCAATTAACGAGGAGGTCCACTTGTATATTAATGGGAGATGGGGTGGAGGAGCAGTTTAGGTTCTCTTGAGCCTTCCGTTCCCATTCAGGGCAATGGAGACTAAGTTGTGCAAAAGTGCCAAATTATGAACAGCCTCCTGCTTTCTCCAAACGATGCAGGTTCCCATCCCTTAGAAAGTCTGGGCAGCCTCTGCCTTTTGTGTCCCTCACCCTCACGTGAGATGAGATTCTCCAGTCTGAAGAGTTGGGGGGGAAGTGTGCAGAAAACTGGCAGTGCTTCCCCCTCAGGGAGGGCCCTTCACTCAACCGTCCAGCTCAGTCACTGTTCTAAGATTTGGGGAGAGAACATGACCAAACAGACAGAGCATCTTTTACGCCTGAGTGCTTGTCCTTCCTTCCTTCTTTCTTTCCTTCCTTCCTTCCTTCCTTCCTTCCTTCCTTCCCTCCCTCCCTCCCTCCCTCCCTCCCTCTTCTCATTCCATTTCCTTCCTTTTCCTCTCCCTCCCTTCTTTCCTTCTTTTTTTATTCTCCCTTCCTCACTTCTTTGCTGCCTTCCTCTCATTCCTATTTCCTTCCTTCCTTCCTTCCTTCCTTCCTTCCTTCCTTCCTTCCTTCCTTCCTTCCTTCCCTCCTTCCATCAATCCTTCTTTCCTCTAATTCCCATTTCCTTTCTCTCTCTCTCTCTCTCTCTCTCTCTCTCTCTCTCCCTCCCTCCCTCCCTCCCTCTTTTCCCTTCCTCTCCAGACCTTCTTCCTTCTTCTCTCCCTCCTTTCTTTCCTTCCTGTTAAACGCCAAACCTTTTTTCTTTCGTTCCTTCGAGTGGTTTCTTCACGTACGTTTCTGCCGAGATGCCCGGAACGAAAAAACAAGCCTGGCCGGGGAAGCGGATAGCAGTGAGCCCCCGCTGGCAGCCGCCCAAAATAAGGGGGCAGCCCGCTCCGTCCGCGTGGGAAGCAAGCGCCGGGCCGAGCCTCGGAGGGGACTCGGAGCGCCTCCCCGGAGTCGGCCGAGAGCAACCAGGCCCCCTTTCCCCGCCCTGGAGCGCCGCTTCCCGGAAAGTTGCGGGCGAGGCTTTCACGCTTCTCCTCTGGCTTCCCCGACGGGACCGTTTCCACGGCTCTTCACAGCCGGCACGGCGAGATTCCTGGGGCGCAGGCGGCACCGCGACGCCGGAGCCTCTCAGCGGCGCCCGCAGGTCCTCTCTGCCTCGGCTCCGCGGTGGAGGCCTCGGGGCGCTCCCACGACGGAGACCTCCGGCAGCCGGAGCGGAGCCGTCGAGCAGGGCAGGTCCCCGAGGAAG